CATCCCTGTCTCCCCAGTTGTGTATGAACATGTCAAAAACATTCATGTGGTAAACCCAGTAACCATGCCCAAAATCACCATAAATGGAGTGTATAAAACATCCCCAAATGGTAGGTCTATTATTGGGTTTACCATCTGGATTTGTTTGAAAATAGGCTACAGTAGCCCCAAATTTGATGGTCAATGATCATTTTCCATCATTTTCCCCATGGACTAACCGTTTAGAAGTATACTCCATGTTCAGACACACCCACATTATAAACCCAGTAACCATGGGATGTCCAAGTGCCTCAGAGATCCTCAGATCACAACCCCCGGTCGGACACGTTGGACTCGTTGGACGTCCAAGGAGGGTGAAAACTACACCCCACCCAGAGAGTGCCCAGCTCAGAAGTGCAGGGACAACAAGCAGTCAGGTCGGGGATGGAAAAGTCGGGCCATGTCGGGCCTCACAATTTTGCAGTGAAATCCGCTCAGGACACGACTTTAGCTGCGAATCACTTATTTTTTTTTAATCATTGAAATTTCGAGCCGGATCTGCCCGGCTTATCATTTGAAAGATTTTGAAAGGCCTTGAGATCCAGCTCCATATGGAGGTTTCCTAAAATGGGGGTAACCCCAAATCATCGATTTTACCCACTGGTAATTTAACATAGCTATGGAAAGATCCACCATTTTTTATGGGAAAATCCACTATAAATCACCATTTTCAATAGCTCCAGCCTTTTTTGTTCCCTGCCTTTTTTCTGCCAGGCAACCTCCGCTGCAACATCCGAACCTCGGCCTTCACGAAATACCAGGACCGGAGCCGCTTCGGTCTTGCCCTGGGGATCCACAACGGGCGAAGATCGGTGTTTCATTTAGAAATTGTTGGATTGGAACAGGGTATCAGTGGTTGGTGGTTTGGACCATTTAAACCATCAGCAATAGGGACTTAATATGGGTTAATGGGACTTAGTATATCTTAATATGGACTTAATAGATCTATATACTGGTTGGTGGTTTGGAACATGAATGGGTTATGACTTTCCATATATTGGGAATATCATCATCCCAACTGACGAACTCCATCATTTTTCAGAAGGGTAGGTCAACCACCAACCAGATCAACTATGTGAATCTATATGACTTAGAAGATCTTATAAGCACCCAAGACACAGGTAACAAACTTGGGTTGCAATTCAGAGCGATGTTATGGCCTTAAAAGGAGAGGTGGCAAGTTAGATAACGGGCATGTTATCATGAAGTGTAGCCTGCACCGGAGCAAAACATCACCTCGGCGGTACTCCACGTCCACACCTAACTTGACCAGCTCCCATGCTGACCGTAAGCTATTTGCGATGCCAGATGGTGCAGAGTTTGTTTGTTCCACTGTTGGGAGTATGTTTTAGGACTTCGGTTGTGGATGGATTGTGCTGCTTCCCTTGGGATCATGATGGGAGTAAGACATAGTCAGACAGGGGTGTTTTATTGCGGTTAACCGTTAGTAGAAAACTTCGGATTTTGGGATTCTGTTCCCCCATTTATGACCATGTATGGTAAAAAATGGAGATGGTTCATGATTCAGATGTTGCACAAGTTTTATATACATAGCATTTTTTGCGTATGAACTCCATTATAGATATACAGTATATTACCATGTATTACCATCCGGTAATCAAACATGGCATTGCAAAATCATCCATTCATGGATGATTCTACTACAACCTCCGTTTATGAGGGAATGTCCCAGCCATGTTTGACAACGGATAGAAGGCGCCGTGGGCGCCTTCTCAGCTAGCCTTGGGCGCTTGGGCGCAGGAGATGAAGGTGCAGGAGATGTCAGAGCATGTGCCACAGGGTGGAGTCCCAAGGTGCGATTCGACTAATGCCTTGGACTTTGGATGTGTTATCGAGGGACTAAGGAGCTGTCTCATGTGGGGATACCTAGGGTTATACCTGGGATATATATATAATATATATATAAACAATAATAAACACCACAAAAAAGTCTGGGTCAACCAACTGCATGGCTGAACAATAGAACTTTAGCACTGCATTGAACTGTTATACATGGGGATATTTACTTGCCGGGTTGGGCAGGGTATACAAGATTGACGACGTTTCAGATATGTGCGTGCTTCTGATATGTAGCACAATATTTGAGAAGGCTGAGTAAGTGGTGGATAACCCTGGTTACTAAGTCCCCTAAGTAGATTATCCCATAAATAAATGGCTAAACTAAGCCCACCTAACCACTTACGGAATGATGTTTCTGCACCAATGTTGCAGGGCAGCCAGCGCCAGCACCTAACAGTTCCCCCTCATTCTATAGATTTGGACCCAATATGACCCAATATGCCACTCTCTTCAACACTGTAATCATCTGTAATCCCCAAAAATTCTCCTTAACCATCATTAAGCATATGATAACCATTAATATTAACCATATATTAACAGTATATTAGTCTAAAATCTGATTTCTAACATTTTCAATTCCAACTCTAACGGTTTCCAAAGAAATCAGTGGCACCTGAGACCAACATAGACCAACGCCAGGTCCATCTCAGTCTTGGTGCAGGGCGACCTGACACGAGAGGTGCTGGCAGGAGATGCCATCACTTTGACCGGCGTTCCTTGGTTGTGGCCGTCTCCACCGGTCAGCTGCTGTCAGCTCCACTTCTCTCCATCGGAGGCTGTGAAAAAATCGCGAATCAACATGAACCAACATGATGTCATGATATGATTCGGCCCCAACAAAAATCCTGCCGATTCTGCAACAGATTCCTGAAAAATCCTGGAAAACCCTGTCTATCCCAAGGTGTACTACCCCCATAAGTTGCCCTACTTCATGACGATGAGGCTCCGGAAGAGCTGGAGCTCCTGAAAAAAGGGCTCTCAATGGGTTCCTTTTGGAAGATGAGTTCCACACACGAACATTTTACTTTTTTGGGTTGATCCAGGTTGATTTTGAAGATTTTTGAAGGCTGTGGACAGAAATCCTCTGCATGTCAGGATGGTCTATCTACTTGTCTAGCAAGCCACTTCTTTTCACGATGGGTCCAAACCCCACACGCCAGGCAGAACACTCCCACTACGCAGTCCATGTACATCGAGGTGGAAACGTGGTGCATCAAGGTTGAATGAATAAAAAATCAAGGGACTGGGTGCACACCATGGTGGAGTAGATCTACTCATGTTTGCCGAGCTAGTTGATGATTGTTGGCGATGCCCAAAATTGGAATTTGAATGAATTTGAATGGGGATGAATAGCTACTGCAATTAAAATCAATTAAATATGATTCCCAGCTGAACTAAAGTGTTTTAATATTTTCGAGTATCTCCGGGCCATGGTACTTTAGGTCTGAGGTTTGTGATGTTGGCCCCGCACTGTGTCAGCCCCGGACATAGGGAGATTAGGGAGGGGGGAAACATGTGCTGACGTCAGTGCCAATTATGGACACTGGGTGATTAGCTCCAATTTGCCTAAATCAAGCACAATTGTGCCATGGAGATGATCATCGATCCCTGAACAGAGATTCATATAGCCATTATTTTTGGATTCCTGCAATGACCATTAACAGATTTTGAGGGATCCCATGTTTCGATATACATTGCGCGGCACATATCTGGTCATTATCAGAATCTAAGGTGGTATGGTCCTTAGAGTCCTTACCTCATCCTCCAATTGGCTTATTGAGAACCCGCATTTCTGCCACTTCTCCAGGCACATCACATTCAAAAGCACAAAAAGGGCTACAGCGAGAGCCCAACTGACGAGGCCGTCCCTGAAATGGTGCTACCACTATGTCAAGGGTTGATGTGAGGCAATCCTTAAAAATGTTAACCATCCTTCCATGTCATCATAAGAATCCTCTATAAATCACGCAAATCCAGTATTACGCACCACCCAAAAAGATATGAAGTTTTCAAAATCCAAAATCTTCGAAGATTAAGTCGTCACCTTAATCAAACCTTTGATATCTATTTTTGCTGGGTGATAGCCTTTAAAATGCTAACATCACCAGAACCACCTGGATTTCACGTGGGTTCCCATGGTTTCCTCAGGACGCCATGGAGCACAAGCTCAACGAAGCCATGGCCCACGGCAGCCTCTACGAGAACGCCGCCAAGTCCATCGCCCCGGAGATCTTTGGACACCAAGACGTGCCTCGAAAAGCGAAGAAACCATGGGCCCGGATGCAAATTGTTAGTAACCATAGCTATAGTTATAGATGTGATAGTCCATTTATCTCCATCTATAGTTTTATATATATATATAATAATGGGAAAGAATGGGATATATATATATATATACATATATATATATCATATGTGTTTGGTTCATAGTGGTGATATTGACACTTCTTAAAGTGGGGAATCTCCAAGTCATCATGGTTGTTTCAGTAGTCATGGTCCAATGACTTGGATTCTTTGGGGTTACCCCTTTTGTTGGAAATGCGCATGGGGAGTTTTTTGTTTTTTCATTAGGATTAAAAACTGATCAAATCATCTCTAAAGTCATATCTGAAAAATGGAAATTAGTATTAGCATCTGGTTATTTAACATAGCCATGGTATAGATGGCCCGTTTATAGATGGTTTACCTGTTAATAGCATGGTGATTTTCCATGGCTATGTTAAATAACCAGATGGTAGCATGCATTCTATAAACCATCCATAAAGTCACATTTTCTCATATTTATGGGTTAGATGGATGAAACCCATAAATGAAGACGCTGGAAGATTAAAATGGTGAAAAATCATCTATAGAGTCATATTTGAATAATGGAATATTAGATATTGGATTATGAGAATAATAGATACCATATTTAGTCAAATATTATCATATAGATTCTAGATATAGTTCATATATAGTATCTAATATTCCACATAGATGATAGTACTCAAATACAGTCATATAGTCAAATATCAGATACTGTATTTGATATATTTGATCTTGGATGAAACATCATCGAACTACCATCCTGGTTGAAAACACTTGCTGTCGAATTTTCGTCGGTGTCGGGTGAATTTTTCCTGTGGGGCTGTCTCAGCATATCCTTCAGTAAATGAATGTAAATGATGTAAATGGAATCCCCATTCGGTGGAAAGATCTTAAGAGATGAACTAAGAGTCTAGTTGACGTTTTCAGTTGGTGAATGTCTGAAATTCAGTCGAAACACAAGCTGCTTTTCGAGAGTTCCTCCAGGGATTTTCTGGGCAGAGCGCCGAGTCAGATAGTCCAATGGAGTAATGCGCAAAGCAGTAAATGGAGGCATATATACGTATAATATATATACATGTATATATGTATATATACATGTATCTATATATATATATATATACGTATATACATATATATACGTATATATATGTATATATATATATATACGTATATATATATATATACATGTATATATATATATGTATATATATATGTATATATATATATATGTATATATATATATATATGTATATATATACATATGTATATATGTATGTATATATATATATATCATTTCTATATATTTCAAAGTCTATATTCATATGCATGTGCATGCGCAGTCCTATAGCCTATATATCTCTACACAGAGAACGCTGATATACTGCCATTTTTTGGGGGGGTTGGGGGAGGGATGAGGGATGGTTGATGTCGGCCCCTTTCATCTGACGTTAGCTGGGCAGGTGAAGAAGGCCTTGCTGCTGGTGCTCATTGGTTCCTTCACCAAGCAGATGCAGGCAGGGAAGGCTGGTGTACATAATCAGATGGCCTATGATTATAATATTATATATATACATGCGCACACATTTATATATATATACATATACATACACATATACATATATTATACATATATATATATATATATGTATATGTATAAAGTTAAAGCATGAAAGGATGGTGTATCAACTCAACACTCGCGTATTTTTTCTGAATCCACCTCGGTGAAGCGTGAGTTTTCTCAGATCTGATCAGCTAAGAATCTGGTGGTGGGTAATTCTGCAGGCTATAGATTCAAGTTGGTAAATACTGAACCACCCCGCACACACACAGATATACGTATTGTATATATATATATATATAGTTATATTATATATATATATGTAGTTGTATATATATATAGATGTAAATACAAATAAGAGGGTTATCAGTTTTTAAAAATCATGTCCATTTATATCCCATAAGAAATTCATATCCCATTCACATCCCATTTTTTGGTGACATGGCCTGGCAGGATGGCCTGAAGATCCGCGGGGACATTCATACCTTGATGATGGGCGACCCTGGCGTGGCAAAGAGTCAGCTGCTGAAGCAGGTCTGTGCCATTGCTCCCAGGTCACGCTTGGGGGGATGGGATTGAAAATCCGGGGATTTTTTTGTTGGGAAGTTTCATGGATGAACATGGAATACATGGATGTCAGGCATTTTTATGGAGAGTTTCATGGATGTTGCGAGGGGGAATCGATCAGATACACCCTCGGTTTCATCAAAAGTGACTTGGAAGTCCCATGGGGAATCTTTGAGAAGGTTTGATTCCGAAAGGGTAAGGAAAGTCAGCCAGAAACCTATTGGATTTTACCATGCAAATTTGGAAGTCAAAAGTAAACTCTACACTCTACACATTTTCTTTGTCAAACTTTTTTTGAGTGGATTGAGCCATGCAGTGGGATCTGTACTATTCTCCCATAAGCATGTTATGGACGAACAAGGCTTTGGAGAATGCCATGGTCAATGAATCAGGGTCACAAATCAAAATCTGAAAAGATAATGTATCAGCTATAATGGGAGATTTTCCCATTGAATTAAATGCCCATCTGTAGAAGATTTCCCATTGACGTGTTTGACGTTTCGGACGGTATACCATTTGAGAGATTACCATGTAATATAGCTATACCAAACATTACCATACTATTAGATGCCTATACCCAGGTCATTCATTACTTGATGTCGTTGATAGTTTTGATATGATTTGATACTGTACCTTGATACCTTGTACTCCCACAAGTAGTTCCATAGATATTTCCATAGGTAGTCACCTACCTGGGGTGTTCTCCCCTTATATCCCATTATATCGCAGAGCACAGCTCCACAAAATGTTCACCCATAGAAATTTTGATGCTTAAACTGGCTTAAACTGCGTATTTAATGCAATTTACTGCTGAATCCTTGGATTGGAGACTTTAGTACTTCAATGGCTTCTAGACATGGAGAGAGAGAGAGAGAGAGAAAAAGAGAGAGAGAGAGAGAGAGATCGATAGATAGATAAATAGATGGATAGATAGATTTTATTTAATCCCTAGCCCATTAGATCCCATTATATCACAGCAGGACTCTCCCATGATATCAACATTATTAACGAAAAAAATCGCCAGGTCGGTCTACACCACGGGCAAGGGTTCCACCGGAGTGGGCTTGACGGCCACGGTGAACCGGGACAACGCCACCGGAGAGGTTGCAGCGGGTGGCAGCGGTTGGCAGCGGTTGGTCATCAAAAATAGGGGGATTTCATCAGGTCTCAATGAGATCTACGGGGATTTAATGGGATTTAATGGGATTTAATGGGATTTAATGTCACATCGACAATAGTCAAGGGGGTCCCCCCCTTTTTTTTAGGGGAGGGTCTGCTTTGCAATAGTAAATCGAAAATCTCAACTCTTCCCCAAAGGCTTCTGTAAGGTTTTGACAAATCCTCTCTTTTCTGATGGGCTCTGATGGGATCTTCATTGGATTCTGATAGGAAGAAGGGAAAAAAATGCCTGCTAGAGCCAGGAAGGAGGTTTCTTATTGCAAGTGCTAATTCCAGTTTTTAATTGCAAATGCAAGGACCTGCAAGGGGGTACCCTTTGCGGACCTGATTTTTGCAATGTTTTAAAAGGATTTAAATAAAGAAAACAACTTTTTTGAACAAGGTAAAATTGTTGATTTGGTAAAGGTTTGCTTTGTTTTTGCTTTTGAAAAACATAAAATCACAATTAAAAACCATTCAACCACAATTAAACACACTAAGGAAGAAGGGAAAAAATACAGCTGAACTGTAACTGGTTCTGATTTTTTTTCCTGCATCCATACTAAATCTCAATTAGCTCCTTTACAATTTAGTATTGGAAAATCTGATAATTTGGGAATTTTCTGAAAATTATTTGTAGCTATTGCGAATGAACCACATTTATTGCAGATGCTCTGGACCAAGGTTGATGTTTGTAATTTAAAATCAATAAGGCCTATTTTAAAATCAATAGGGGCTGAAAAATCAGATTCTGAAAATTATTTGTAGCTATTGCACGCGCTTTATATACTATTGTCCATCCAACATTACGGGGATTTAATGGGATTTAATCTGGAAAACCATGGTGATTTACCATCTGGTTATTTAACAGTTCGCCATGGTATAGATGGCCTATAGAAATAGATGGTTTACCGATTAATAGCATAGTGATTTTCCATGGCTTTGTTAAAGAACCAGATGGTAATTATCATGGGGATAGCCATGAAATTGGGTATATGATATATGGGTATCATGGGGATACCATGGAAGTACATAATGGAAGATCCTGTAAATGGGTGGATACATCATGATCCATCATTTGTAATCAATGGCCATTTCAGGGACCTAAATTAGAGGTGCCTATATACTGTACCATGTATAATGTTTTACCATTTTTATGGGTGGTTTCTCAACCATGAAAATATGGGTAATATATGGCTTATGGGGTTGCTTCACTTACATTAAAGGGTCATAAAATAATCATGATAATGGTATGTAGCTCTTATGGTCACTAAATGGATGGTCATTATAATATTTATATAATATTATCAATATTTCAATAAAATGATTACACAAAGTAGTCATAGTTCTATTATCATGGGTTGCCAGTTCTGCTATCATCATAGAAATGGCGAATTTCAGTTCCGAACTTTACCATGGGATTGAACCATCAAGGGGTTTGGGGGTCGAGAAATTTGAGTGAGATGAATTACCCGATTACAGCTTATTTTGCTCATATTCGAAATGTTGATATGTGAGTAATATTCTGGCACATTTACTCATAGTGTACCTTTTTTATTCATGGTCATGGGAATGTTTAACAGGGCGCCGCATCATCCCCATTCTGCAATCCCAAAAAAGGGTTTTCCACAGTTTACCCTAGGGTACACCGTAAATTCGAAGGTTAGATACGAGGTGTTAATGATTAGCAAGTTGATGTTCTTACATGTCTATAGATTTCTTTACATTTCCATACATTTCTATAGATTTCTATACATTTCCATACATTTCTTTACATTTCTATACGGTCCTTTGTTAATGACCACGGCTCTCCAACATTTCTCGCTTCTTCCGTGGCCTTCCGTTTTATATAGGTGACCTTGGAGGGTGGATCCCTGGTCTTGGCGGACAACGGCGTGTGCTGCATCGATGAGTTTGACAAGATGGAGGAAGGCGACCGAACCGCCATCCACGAGGCCACGGATTTTCTGGGACAGATGGGACAGTCAGAATGGCAGGCCATAGATGGCTGAGAAATGGCCATTAAAACAGGCCAGATATATACACTCTAGAGTAAACGGGCGGGCTAACATAGCGAACTGGAAAAGCACTATCTTTAATGGCTAAATTAACTATAAATGGGTAATTTGACTATAAATAACTCTTTTTTGGTGGGTAAATCAACTATAGATATCTATAAATTGCTATTTTCAATAGCTTTTTGTATGTTTACCAGAGGGTATGATTGCTATTTTTATGGAGGGTTCCATAGTCATGGAAGCCCATTTGATGGATGGTTTATTTCATGGAAGATCCGAAAATCAAATGGATGAGGACTGGGGGGGAAGTCATCATCCCCGTCATTTGAAATTGGGATGTGTTGGATCCCCATGGTGATGTTTTCCTGGGATAGTGGCATTGGGTTTGCCACATCCTGATGAACAGCACCTAATTCCAAGGGCAGTTGCTGTTGCTTGGTATTGTTCCAGTTCTGGCATGCTTCCTGTCCACATCGCTTTCTGGAGGCTAGAAGCCAGCATTTGCAGCAACCGTTTTTCAAACGATTTACAGGAAATGCCCACATTCAGTGGTTTCAACATGTTTCAAACAGATTCCCGGCACATTTCCTAACTTTTCAACCCAGGCTTTGCGATTCCCTTTGCTGCTTTGGTGCCTAGGTCATGGAGCAGCAGACGGTGTCCATCGCCAAGAGCGGGATCACCACCACCTTGAACTGCAGGTGACTCGGATCTGGAGAACATCGAGCGGAAACCCATGGCTCCAGAGTTTGCTCTGGTTGGTGGTTTGGAACATTTGTTATTTTTCCATATGGGTTTGTCTGAAAATAGGGTATATTCCCAATTATAGCCATTTAATAGGGAGAATGATCATTAACCATTGGGTTTAGGGGTACACTATTTTCAGACACACCTATATGTTGGGAATGTCATCACCCCAACTGACGAACTCCATCATTTTTCCATATGGGGTAGGTCAACCACTCAACCACCAACCAGTCGCTGTTTTGAATGTCCAAGTTGGCATATTTTCTGCTTGGACTGCTTGGATGCCTTTATATGCCTTTGGGTCAACGTCCCAAAGAGTTGGCCGCTGTTCTGGGGACCAGCCATGGAAAAGGGGCCACTTTCCACAATGGGATGATGAAATGGGGGCTGCTGGGATTATTATTGATACTTAGCCAGTGGATCATCCCCTTCCCTACGTTTAGCACAAGTTTTAGTATTTTTTGGGACAACCACCAACCAGTGATCAACCTATTTTTGGGACAGCCTGGCCACCTGACCGGTACAACCGGTACAGGACCACCATTCTGGCTGCAGCAAACCCAGTGTATGGTCGCTACAATCCCTACAAGTCGCCAGTGGATGCTTGGAACAAACGACCGGAGCGCAACGGAAGTTTCCGTAGGCTGCCGTAAGATTGACCATTGTTGATCCATTTTGGTGAGGAATATTATATATATAATTATATGTTATATATACATATATATATATGCGATAGTACAAGAATATTTATTTACTTAATATTATATATAGGCATATATACAATAATACATTATATATATATACAATGTGTGCGTGTGATTGTATATGTAATGTTATCTCCTTTTTTTTCTGGGATGCCTGTCTCTCCCATGGCATGGTTAGGAAATACCCCGTATTTCCTCTAGATTTCAGGTGACATGGCTTCGCTGGTGAAACCCCAAGGAGAACATTGACCTGCCGGCTGCGTTGCTCTCCCGCTTCGACATGGTCTTCCTGCTTTTGGACACCGTGGATTGTGACAAGGAGGGGCACCAGAAAGAATGGCGTATTACTACCAATCAAGAAAACCACAAGAAAGGGGGGAAGATCAGATAGATTAAGAATGATTAAGATAGCCATAGATTTTCCAGCTGGTAGTTCGAAGTTTCATTTATCTCCTACTTTCCATCATTGTTCGGCTATTTCAAGATATTTGAAGAAGATACACCCAGTTGACTGGCCAAACCTTGGGTCCTTGGGTCATCTATAGGTAGCTTTTTCATCCTTTTTCCATTTCTTGCCATAGGGGCCCGTTCACTGACCAGCTACCCTCCGGGAATCAGTGCCATGCTTTGCTGGAAAGTCGCCCGTTGGGTATCCACTGGTATCCACTAGCATTAAAGATTGGCATGTTGCTGGGTAGAACATTAACGTTAGTAAAACAATTTTAAACCACCAATATTTTGATTGCTTATACCATCCATTCATGGCAATAATATGTAAAAATAAGGGTTTACTATTGCTTTTCTGACATTATTAACCCATGATTAACCATGTAAGTGTTGCCTTTTCCATAACTCCAGTGTTTTCTTTGGGCCAAGCTCCCCAGCTCAACCAGCTCCAGGACAAGCAATTGGCGGAGCATGTGACCAAGGTGCACAGCAGTTTCGAGAAGAAGGCGCGGCGCAGCCATCGGATGCGGGCTTCGGCGGCTTCGCATCAATTGATGTGGTCAATGGAATTTGTTTCATCATCGATGTTCTTTGTTTTTTTGGCATTTTTTGGGTGACTTTTTGGGTGACCTAATTCTGGTGACCCAAAAACATGGCATCTGGCCATGTTCATGGGACAATTTTTGGGACTTCACAGCTAAAGGGCAGAAGCTTTTCCCAGGGTAAGCCGTGGGATGATCAAGCTGGAGACTCGCCCTCCTACGATTGAGGTACTAAAATTATGGGGTGTTCTGGGGTAAATCATGGTAAATCCAACATGATTTAATGTTAATACATTTTTTAAAGATACTTGGAAGGTCTAGGTAGACTGACCGTAGACTGATGGTTCTTTCCCAACTTTGGAGCGTTTCATCCGAATGGCTGGGTCAAAATGCTGGGCCGTTCCAGGACAAAGATGGCTTGGAACTCGTGGAAGACGCGGATGTCTTGGGCCTCGGCCTCTCGGCTGGAAAACGGAGGTTTTTTGGATGGGAAAAACATGGGGAAACCCATGGGGAAAATCATCTGGTGGTAAAAGAATGTAATAAACCACCCATTTGGGAATGGTTTACCCTCTGGTAAACGTTAACAAAAAACTATGGAAAGATCCACCATTTTATAGCTGGGTAAATCAACTTTTTTCTATGGCCATTTTCAATAGCAAACTGTTTGTTTATCAGAGGGTATACCACCTATTTATAGTGATTTGAGGGATGGTTTATGGCATTGTTTTACCCACATGAATGGGGGATGTAGCCATGGTTTTTCGGCATCCAGAGGCTGCGGCAAAACTGGTGAACGGTAGAAGGTAGTCATGGCCAAGGTATCTCTCGTTTGGGGCTAGCCTTTGATAAATTAAGATAGCTATGGCCCATTTGTAGTTGATTTACCTATTGAAAGTGATGATGTTCCATATGTGAATTTATGTGAGTTTACCAGAGGGTATTTGGATCTGTTTGGTAGGGTTCACTGGGAACATCATTTGCGCCACTGTCAATACATTGTCAATACTGGGGTTGGGACATGTTGGGACATCAATATGCAGGGGGACTGTCGCACTCCGTGTGAAAAGGCTGGCTCATACTGTATACCCCAAGGTATATAGAATCTCCTCAAGAACACGTTGACTACTACCCAGTTATTGGTTCTGAAGTTGTTGGTTTTCGTCGTCGAATGACTGCAATAGGAAATGGCACTTATCGCACACCATGGCACACCTGTGGCCCAATTGGTTGGAGGTTGATTTCAACTTTTCAGAGATCATCAGGGATCTAAAGAGTGCAAAGCGGCGATGACAAGCTGAGGTCTATCCTCCTGAAACGGGGTGCTTGTGAGTCGGAAGACCTTTTCCATGACAATAGTACATCACGGAGACATATATACTGTAACTATATGAACATTTTTTTTTGGTTAAACTATATCTATAAATATGTATATATATATATATGTGTGTGTGTGCGCGCGTGTTACATATATATATATATGAAAAGTGCACATCATTTTGTTTCCACCTCAGTTTGTTGATATGATTCCTTACCTGGCCCATGCCATGGGGTGCTCAAGATTGAGGACGGACTAGGTCCAGTTGCAGTGGGCTCAGCGGAGAATCAAGCACCCAAAACATCGGATGTTACGAAATCCTGCACCAGTTGATAGGTGGTAAACATCCCATTATTGATAGGGTTTCAACCATCCTTTTGGTGGTTTTTCTCGGATTGCTTCCACCCAGCCATATGTGAAATTTGATCACCCGCGGGATCTTCATATTTCCATTATGCATCATTATGCATCACTACCCTCTGGTAATTTAACGTAGCTATGGCCATTTTTAATGGGAAAATCCACTATAAATGGCCATTTTCAATAGCTACGTTAAATTACCAGAGGGTAATCATTATGCATCATTATGCCTCGTTTCATAAGCCCAGAGTTTTGGACTGGTGAAATCTCCAACTTTTTTCATTGGCCCCGGCCCTCGCATCATCTCGGATCCACAGGTTTCAAGGCCTTCGATCACAAGTTCATGCGTGCCTATGTCAGGTGCGCGTCCGGAGGGAGTCAACACTGTTTCATACTGTTTCCCTGGAAATCTGCTATGAAATCTCATGAAACATTGTACTTGGATGTGCATTGTGATCATTGTGGTTAGGAAGTAGTCTCTAATCTTTTGAAGACTAAATTATCTACGTGTGTTTTTCTTGCTCCGCCTAGTTATACATGTGTATATCTCTACATGTAATATACACATGTTCAATCATTTTCATGTATGCATATATTTCTGCATATATGAGCAACCGTAAAAACCCCGGCAATACTAAATATGTATTCGACGGACATTGGTTTATGGAAATTGATGGAAATTGTTAAAAACACGAGGTAAGCGATGGGACCTTCCCAAATTAGCGATACCCCTTTTCAAGGTTATGTCATCATATTTCTCTAATATCCACATTAGCGATACCCAAATATCACATATTATTCATAGTTCATCACATATATATATATATATATATAAATGCAGCAGTTTCCTGCAAGCGATACCCCCCAAGTTTACCATATATCATTATTGTACAAACGTGTGGTAAGCGATGGGACCTTCCCAAATTTGTGGATGTCCTTTCCGTGAACCTAGGGTTTTCACAATCGCTCATATATATATATATATATCTGATTATATAATGGTTGATCTTAAAGGTCCTTGTAAGGAGTTCTAATTGCGAAAGCCATGCATGTTATGTTGCAAACCCTCGCGAAAGTTTTTTTTTTCGAGTTCGCGAAAGATATTGTTTTAATGCGCGAAAGTTTCGCGAAAGTTGGATATTATGAAAATAAATATCATTGTATACATTACAGCTTGTTAAGGGCTACCACCTCCTGCCGCCCGGGGGCCCGGGGTCCGGCAGGAGAATGGTACACCACATTTACCTTTCCCTTCATAGGTAGCAGCCAAGCTTCTGAAGGTGTGGCGAAGCCTCCATGGTCTTGAAGCACATCCTTGCACCTGCCGCTGGTACTGTCTAACGTTGCTTTCTGAAGTCTCAAGAAACAAGCTCCAAATGCAGCAGCCAAGCTTCCAAAAGTGAGGCTTTGCGAGAGCTAAACACCAAGGCCCCTGGTGTTTGCTGTTCCTCTGATGCGCCCCCTGCTGATGGCTGGGGTCTGCGGATAGGGGTATTTTCGCGAAAGTTCTGCAAAGGACTGGGCGACAGTCAAAGTGCATTTTGTAGGGAGTGGCCCAGTAAGCCTTCCAAAAAAATGCCTAATCAATAACAACCTGCCCTGAGAAGGGGATTCCGCGATGCTAGCTGCATGTTTACAAGGCTATGCAGAAGTTATCCGTGATAATTTGATGTCATTTGGCAGGTGCTAAATGAATCTTCATAAGAGGAGATGTTGCTCAACGTGGGGTCTGCGAAAGATAAACATGGAGTTCGCGAAAGATTTGCGAAATATATTTTTATTCGCGAAGAATGGCCTTTCCCGGATAAAGGAAATTTGATTAATTAACCGCTATGTATCTATCTGTCTATGTTATCTATCCATGTATCCATCTATCTATCTTTCTTTCTTTTTGTGTACATGCATATTTCTTTCCATTTGCGATTGGGCAATTGGCCATTTAATTTTTCGGAATGTACATGCAGGCCCAGTCACAGTGTAGCTTCCCTGCGGCTTCCGCGTAGGAAAGCTCGAAGCTTCGAACCGTTGTTGGACGATGCCTTGCGAAGCGACATGGCAGAGGCCTATGTTGCCATGCGCCCCTGGGACGAAGTGGTGGTGACGGTGCACGCCAGTTACAAGTTGGTTTATGAACCCATTTGACAAATGAGTTCTAAGTATCTAAAAGTATGTTTTATATAAGTTTTAAGTCCTAAGCACCATAGACCCTACTTAGGGCCACTTAGCCTACTTATAAACTAACTTTCTGCAGTCATCTAGGGGGCACCGCCTTATACATATATGGGGTGAGGGTAAAGATGATGAAGATGAAGTTTTTGATGGTGATGATGATGATGATGATGATGATGATGCTGGTGGTGGTGGTGGTGGCGGTGACGACAGCTACATCAAGGAGTTAAAAACAGAAAACATGCAGGAAATTCGTGGAATGTCATCGATTTTGTCACATGACGGCAACTGCCTTAAACCTTGCTGTGAGCTGCAGATGGGTCACTGAAACTGTTGTTTTAGTTTCAAAGGTAACAGGTGAGTGAGTATTAATAAAATTTGGTTAACCCAATAATAGTAACAAAATATAAATAAAAACTAAACCTGCTATTTGGGAATTGTGTATAGCACCCATGTACGGTGATTTTGGGATGGTTTATTATTGAGTTTACCTCATTAAATCAATCATGTCGAGTTATTGATCTTTTTTTTTTGGATCACAAACTTAAGAACGCATCCCAGATCGTAAGGTATTAGTTTGTAGGGGTTTGCCCTTCATGACTTTCAGAAATGCCTACCTGATCTCAGAAATGCCTAGGTGATTTGAAAATGACATAGGCATTTCTGAAATTTAGGTAGGCTAATCTGAAATTTGGTAGACTAATTTGTTGTCCAGAACGTTGTGCAAACAAATGTGGTTTCATATTTTTTACAAAATATTTAAAAAAAAGACAAAATATGTTCAAAAAGATAAAATCTAAAATATGGTAAAACGTTGATTGAACGTTTACCTGCTCACGATGCTAACACGTTGTGATTACGTTGGCCAGCTCAGTGTGCAGCTGAGTCATTTGTGTCAACTGTATGAACTGATGAGAGAAACTGGGCATGGATTTGACCTGTTTAGCATGGAAATTATGATTGCATGAACCACGTATGGTCCATCCATTTTCCATTTTTATCACCAAAATGGAATCACACCTTAACTTCGAGGCCTTAACTTCGAGCCTCAGGGTTGTCAATTTTGTCCTTGTTTGTTATTTGTTTGTCATGTGCTGTCATTGTTGTCATTTTTGTGATCTTTTGTTGTCTTAAAACAATGAGTATCGATGTTGCTCCCAGAACATAAATGTCCCTTGTCAAAACACATAGATCTTGTTTAATTTAATATAATATTACTTATTAGGTTTGCATTTTCAAGCTTGCCTAAAAGTCAGGTATGCAAAATGTAGCGGTTATTTCCAGTACGAGTGTCGTGTAAAAGTGTCCCAGAAGAGTGTCACAAAATCATAGCGGGAGCGCCGCTCATTTATGGACACAGCCTGCCACTAATTTACGGACATAGCCTGCCACTAATCTATGGACATTACCTTCCAGTAATTTTTGGACATAACCTGCCACTACTTTATGGACACAACCTGCCAAGATTTTATCGACATAACCTGCCACTAATTGATTGGCATAGCAACTAATCTATGGGCATAACCTACCACTAATCTACAGACATAACGCCGACCCCGGATGGATCAGTCAACTCGGGCAGCAGTGTCTTGCGAGAGTGTCCACACCACAAGGTTGTCCCACAGGCTGTTTATGGACGTAACTTGCCACTAATTTGTGGGCATAACCTGCCACTAATTTATGGGCATAACTTGCCACTAATTTATTAATAGCTTCCCTTACCCCATTGTGTCACCCCCTTGTCTGTCAGAAGGGACGTCTTCATCCACTCCGCCGGGAGCCTTTAGGAGGGTTACAAGATTTGTTTTTATATATTTTTTATTTAGGATCCTTTTTCTGCAGGGTAGGATTTTTGTTCTTGGCATCCAGGTTCGTGGCTTCACTTGGTTAGCTAATACGGTTGTCTGCATCCTCACTTCATCTGGCCGTTGCCACTGTAATGCGTGTAGCGACAGAAGGGGGAGCTAGGATGATGAGGGGAGCGAAAGAACCAATAAGCAGACTAGTAATTTTCCGTTTGGTTTGGGACTTTGGGGGGCGCCTTTTTGACCTATTTTTGGAGCCCCTTTTTGGGGCTAAAAAGTCGCCCCTTTTTAATCCCCAAAGCAGTACCAAACCAACGGGAAAATTACCAAAGCAGACCCTCACACCCTAGAAACATCCTTTACGAAAAGGTTGAAAAAACTGTTTTCGTTTTATGGCTCAAGCGACGACGGCGACAGTGGAAGGAACAGCACTTGGAGTGCAAAGAGTGGCAAATCTTAGGCGACGCCATTTTTTCATCCCTAAACTCTATAAATGGCACTTAGGGACACTAAATTTAGCATACCTCACTTCTAGGCAAGCCTAAACATGCATACCTAAACTCCATTAATTCCATTTAGGCACACTAAATTTAGCATACCTCACTTTTAGGCAGGCACTCTTGCCACGATACTCTTGTGGACACTCTCGCGAGACACTGCTGCTCCAGTTGACTGATACATCCATGGTCGGCGTTAAGGCCACAAATTAGTGGTAGGTTATGCCCATAAATTAGTGGCAGGTTACGTCCATAAATTCTTGGCCGGTTATGTCCATAAATTAATGGCAGGTCGCGTCCATAAACTATTGGCAGGTAATTTCCATAGAATAGTGGCAGGTTATGTCCATAAATTAGTGGCAGGCTATGGGACACTCTTGCGGGACAGCAAGAAACTCTTGCCACGACACTCTTGTGGACACTCTTGCAAGACACGGCTGCCCCGCTTGACAGATCCACCCGGGTTCGGCGTGATGCCCATAGATTGGTTGCAGGTTATGTTCATAAATTGGCAGGCTACGTCGGTAAATTACTGGCAGGTAATGTCCATATTCGTGGCAGGTTATGTGCATAAATTAGTGGCAGGTTGTGTCCATAAATTTAGGGCAGATTATGTCCATTAAATAGCAACACTTCTGCTATGATGCTATGACACAGTTTTGGGACACTCTTACAAGACGCTACTACTGGAGATGAGCCCTAAATTGAGCATACCTGACATGCAGGCAGGCACTCTTGCCACGGCACTCTTGTATAAACTCTTTTCCAAATGTTTTCCATGTTGCAACCTTCAAGCTTAAGGTTCAAGAAAATTCCGCGCGCAGCGCGGAAAAATTTTTTCTGTAAGTATTCACGCTACGGTACTATAAGCAAAAACAGTGTTTCATGAAACTTTTCTGTAAGCATTCATGCTGCGGTACTATAAGCAAAAACAGTGTTTCATCAAACTTTTCTGTAAGTATTCATGCTGCGGTACTATAAGCAAAAGCACCATTTCATCAATTTTTTTGTAAATATTCACATCTGTTTGCTTTCGGTTTCAAAAAGTTTGCAACAGCGTTACATTTTTTCATGCCTTTGGCACTGTCAGCAACTACCAGTTTGCTTCAAAATGTCTCAATCTGTCCCCCAAAATGTCTCAAAATGTCTCAAAATGTCTCAAAATCAACTCAATTTTTCTCAAAACTCATTTTGAGACATTTTGAGACATTTTGAGAACAATTTTGAGCAATTTTGAGCAATTTTGAGCGGATTTTTGGGGCAGGTATGAGACATTTTGAGACATTTTGAGTTGATTTTGAGCAATTTTGAGCAATTTTGAGCGGATTTTTGGGGCAGGTATGAGACATTTTGAGACATTTTGAGTTGATTTTGAGCAATTTTGAGCGGATTTTTGGGGCAGGTATGAGACATTTTGAGACATTTTGAGTTGAGCAATTTTGAGCAATTTTGAGCGATTTTGAGCGATTTTGAGCGGAATTTGTTCGGCCAGCAATTTGTATATTTGAATAGTCCTTTCAATCTACATGTCATTCCTGCACAATTGGAATTCACAAATTATGGAGATTGAAGCTAGGTCGTAACGTTTTTGCCCATTTTATTTTAATATTTGTTTTAGTCTAGACGCAATCCTTAGGCCAATTTTGAGCAAACTTTTCTGGCCAGGCCCATTGCGTTTGAATACTTGTTTTGGTCTATAGCAAGCCATTTTCGAGCAATTGAAAAGATTTTGAGCAATTCTACCCACATACCATCCATATTTTATCCATCTATTATTCTTAATTTAGCGTCCATATAACACATTCAATATCGATTTGCGATCAACGTGTTATCCATAAGTTATCCATGTTTTATCCATGTATAGTATCCATTCATTGTCCATTTATTATCCGTTTAATCATTGTTTATCCATTTGTTGTCAATTGTTTATTCATGTATTTGGCATTAATCATGCATTGGATTTAGCTATTATCAATCTATCATCCATTAATTATCCATTTACTACCCATATATCACCACATATTGTCTTGTGCTCGTCCGTTTGTTATCGATGTACTAGCAATTTATTTTCCATGTATTTTCCATTCTGTCATCATTGTTTCATCCATATGCCATACATATATCGTCCAATATTTTTTTTATTGCTTCCATATATTATCAGTTTCCTTCCATAAAGTTTCACATTTCCGTCCAAATGTCCAAATATTATCCATTGTTCAGCCATTATATCCAGCTATTATCCATTTGGCTTTATGCATTATCCATGTACCATCCATGCTTTATCCATATAAGAATACTATCCCTTTTTTACCAATTGTTCATCCATGTGCTATCCATCGGAAATCCCTCCTCCAAGATGTTTAAAGTTGAAAAAAGGCAATGCGAAATCCCTCCTCCAACAAAAGGCCAGCGTCTGGGACCAAAAGCAAGGGCAGCATTTTTCAGTATAGACTCAACATAAGGCCAGTATCTAGGACCAAAAGCAAAGTAGAAAGATAGGCCATACAAAATTCCTTGTCCAATCTGTTTGAAGTAGAAACAGGCAATACGAAATCCATTTAATTTTTTATAAATTGAGTATCCATTTATAATCCGTTCATTTCCTGAGTTTCCATTTATTTCCAGTTTACTCGCCAAATATTTTCCAAATTAAATCAAATATGTAGATATTATCAATTTAGTGTCCACGTATTTTCTTTATATTATCCATTTATCATCCACTCATTTTCCATGTGTTATCAACGTATTTTTTACAACTTATCCGTTTATTATCCATACAGCATCGGAAACGACGTACGGCATGGAAAACAACAAATGCAACAAGACTATGCGCAAAATCCTCCACAAATAAAATAAAGTGCGACGTTGATTATTGAACATGCGTGTATTATTGTAAAAATACATCTACATATATATATATATCTCTCTCTCTCAAATATATATATATATACATTTGTGTATATATGTTCCTTTTGCCCATTGCATGCCTACGCAGAATCACACATGTGTGCCAACATGTGTCAAAAAACGAGCCTTCAAAACAAACCTTACAAAACCACAGTCTCCACTGAAACTTTGTTCCCTTAACTAAAGTTTGTTTCTTGCGCAAACAAACCTCAATTACTGAAGAACAAACCTCAATTAAGGAAACACATCGTAATTAAGGTTTGTAAACATAAATGCTAATTAGTTAGTGCCTTTTTCAAAGGATAGGTATGTGTGCACGTCCACACATATTGACTTTTCAATTTCCAGGTCCACAACCGTATGCATGTATACACTCAAGTGTAAACAGGTATGCCAGTAGATATTCAACAATGTTCACGGTTAGATACTGTTGTAAAAGCACGCTTTTATTATATAAAAAACGTTTCATATCTATGTTCTGCTTGTATATTTCATTTCCTGCGTACACATGGTAGCGTTAAAAAAGCGTTTTTGTTTACACATGTATTTCTGCTTGCGTACATAAGACATATGTGTAAATATTTTTTGGTGCTGGCCAGTGTTGGCAATGTGACTATATGCTGGCGCAGCGATCAAACATCAAACTTTATACATTACCCAACGAATGAAAAATGTTATTCCCTTGAAAATATTCATTTTTTCTACTTTTGAAGTTGCTGACTTGTTCGTGTTCACATGTTAGGTGGCAGCCTCATGACAATTGACCCAAGTGACAAAGGCTATTCACAACGGCAACAATGACAACACCATATTTCATGTCAGTTCAAGCTTTGAACAAAAACCAATGAAAACACACAAACGCAATACCAAATTTCATTTCAAAGGTTCATTTTTTGGTTTTTGGGTTCAAAGTTGTTCAATGTCACGTTTTCAAACCTGTGAAACACGTTGATGTTATCACGATGCTAGCACGAGTCACTTTTGGCTCAAAATAGCTCAAAAAGTACTTTTTGAGATGCCCAAAAATCCCTACAAATTAATCTCCCCACAAGCTGGTCGCCATTCCGAAGTTTGTGATTGGAAAAAGGCTAACTGAGATTTTCACATACGGTATTTTATGTCATCATATATCGATACGCAGTATTCATCGGATACTTTCCACAACATGCTGCTGCTGATGCTTATGTTAAACATGCAAGTTAATAATCCCCTTCCAACTATAGTAACATTCCCCATAAACGGTAGTTATTGGAGTTGTAAACCAGCTTAGCTATGGATGCCCTGTGCTTCACCCGCTTTCAATGGTCATTTGGTCCTCATCCGAACCGGTCCTAGGAGATGAGGAGAAGCGCGAAGGCATCCAGGAAAAGAAGAGCTACACCACGCCGCGCACGTTGTTGGCTTTGATGCGACTCTCTCAGGTGGCCGGTGACGCTGCGGGGCCGGCAGGGCCAGGTCGAATGGGAGAAATGTATTGAAATGTAATGATCCCCCAATGACCAATTTTTCGAGTTTTTTCCCCAGTAATTACAATCACCATAAGTGTATATTATATATTAATATATATAATTCTTGTTATATATATATATATTCTTGTTATATTTACATTATGTGCAGATGTTGGATGAATTGTCTTGACCTTACTGTGACGTCACTGAAATGATGGTTAGGATTGGGGCATCATTCCTACACTGCCGCAAGTTTCAGCCAGTTTATCAGTTTCAGGCTTGTGAATGCAGATAGATTCAGCCAGTAATAGTAGGGTTTCTGAAGATATGGGATGCATGAAAACCATTCAAAACCCATGAAATCCCATATTTCTTGGGGGAATAATGTACATTCTAATGAAAATCAGATATCGTGATTATATTCCAATATATTCCAATTGCATTCTTAAATTCAGTCATATGGGGGTTTCTTAAAAGGGGGGACCCCCAAAACATCCCAAATCACCATGTTGAAATAATTTTTAATATTCAAATCACCCAATAATCTAAGTTTGGACGATTTGGGGGTACCCATCATATTTTGAGAAACATCCATATATCATCATGATATTCCACTGATATTCCAATTAGATTGTTATGTTAATTTTATTTTCATTAGATATCCATCATCATCATCATCATCATCATCATCAGGATACATTTATATATATATATATGTATATATATATATATATTATGAATTATTTATTTATCTCCCTCTTTTTTAAGCTACAAAATGGGAGGATTTGTGCCTCTTGTGCTCACAATGTTTCCACTGAAATTCGAAGGGGGATATATATATATATATTATCATTATTCTTCTTACTCTATTTATATATATAGATATATACATGTATATATATAGATATACATATATATATATGCATATGTATATATATATATTATATTTCCATCCGGCTCGACCTATCCATCTGCGACCAGGCCCATGCCCGTGCTCGCTTCTCCCATCGAGTGGAGCGCGAAGATTTCGAGGAGGCCATGCGCTTGATGAAGGCATCCAAGGACGACGCCGGGGCCGGGGATGAGTTGGGGATAGGTCAAAAAACATCTGGAATTCTCATATTTTGAGGAATAAACATCTATGAGCCAGCTATTTCAGGGTACGGGTGCCAGGGTTTTTTACTAACTAGTTCCAACTCATCACGGTTCAGCCTATGTCTTGAAGATGTAATGGAATTTTGGCGATGTCTGAATTCAATCCGTTCAACTAGGGCAAACTTTGTTGGGCAGTGCAATGCTACACCTACAACGCGTTGTTTTTTTGTTTTTCTTTCGGGGAGGGCATGGCACCCTGATGTCCCAGGGGTTGAGTCAGCCACGGTGCAAGAGGACGTCTTTAATGGCTGCACCCGTAAATCCAGTGGTGAAACATCATTATTAACAGTCAATCTTGGGGGGAATGTGGGGTATACCATGATATACCAGATAATCAGGCACACCGAAATCGTTCTCGTTCCGTTTTCCTTTTTTAGTACCATGATCAGTCCATGATCCACAAGGTTTGTGCCCGTCACGGAGGTTGAATCCATCGGATGTCAATCTTTAGGTGGGATACACTGGAGCACATTTTCCTCCACATCATGAAAGTTGGGAGATGCACGGAAAATCGGCAACCCCACCGTTAATTTATAAAGCTTGATCAGCTTCACCCATGATTTTCCGGTGCTTTCCAGGTATCGTCTTCCCAATAATGTCAACCCTAAATTAATAAACCCCTAGTTTCCGCAAAATGGGGGAAATATGGCTATTTTGGGAACCCACCATATTAATACAGTGGGGGTTGATTAATCCGGGGTTGATATGAATCCATTGATAAGCATCCCACGCCGTCCAGGAGAGCATTGAGTTGAGCGCACCAGCCAAGCGTGGACAAAATCCATTGGATGTGGTCTATGAGACCCTTGGTTTCATGCGAAGGCCGATGTTTCTTTTGTAAGGCACCAGAAAAAAAGGACGATTCAGCTAAAATCCATTCGTGGCCTAAAAAATATTTGCAAATTTTGCGTTGTATTTTCCGGGTTTGCTACTACATAAGCTTTTACTACATCACTGGTGAATACTACAGGATGAAGCCTCCAAGTTAAATTTGTTGGTTTATAAACCCCATTTTCACATCCATTAACTATAGTTATAGTTCGTTATATAGTTCGTTATATCTACCATAAACCATCGTTTTTTTCAGCCACTTTTCTATTCGGCAACTTCGAAGCCGCTCGCTCGACTGGGGGCCCCTGTGCCCGGTACCCCGCTAGAAGGAAGTGGAAGTTAAGGATGATCCACCGGATGTGCACCGGGCACCGTTTTTTTTTGAATCTATTTGGCGTAAGGATTTTCATGTAGGTTTATGAAAATTATGAAACGATCAATGCATATTAACGCGATTCATTAATTCATTCATCACTAATAGTAGATCTATGCATATCTATATAGTCTAGATGCATATCTATCCATACACTATCTCAGTATCTATGGGCATATTATTATGTGTCCGTTTTTGGTGGGTTATACTTCGAAAGTCCAAATTCCGAGCTTTGTGTGCCAAAACATACTTATATAATTATAGGCCATAGAGGTAGTGAGAGAGTTAGCACATGGGTTATAATTGGGATATAGTGGATTACAACCCACTTCACTTACCCTCCTGTAAACTAACATAGATGTGGAAAACCGACTATTTGTAGGTTATTTTCCTAGGGAAACCATGATGTTTCCACAATTTTCCACATCTTTTTGCATGTTTCCCCGAAAATGGGCGGCTCCCATGTCCCATGGCCCTAGGATTCTGGCAGATCTGAGTCGCCGAGATGCCGTGAAGGATGGATGGGTCGACATCGCTCACGTGGTGAGTATGGCTGGGCACAAGGCGCTTCGGATCGCTTCGATGCCCAGGATGGGGAGCGGTTTGGGATTTAATAGCCAATTAGTAGTGGTAAACAATGGTAAACATTCCACCACTCATGATTTTCATGTGGGATGACGTGGTACTTTAGAGGGATTTTTCATAGGGACATAATGGCTAATTTCATGGTGGATCATTGATAAACGTGGATACTGGTAGTCCAATGTGGCTGGAAAATCCCGGAACCAAATGGAAAATCATCGAACTAAATAGATCTATTGCTGGTGGATTTTCAAAGCCGCGTTTGATTACCAGAGGCTACATGATGAATGAGTTAGCCATGTGCCAGGTGTTTGTAGCACAGCATTGTGTAGCCCAGTTGATTCCTAATACTAATAAGAAATCATCCAAACAATTGCACATATGGAGGTTTCCCAAAATAGGGGTATCCCCAAATCATCCACTTTAATAGGATTTTTCATTATAAACAAACCATTTGTGGGTACCGCCATTTGAAGAAACCCCCATATATACCAGTATATATATATATATATATATCCAGTTGGGAATTGTTGCCATAGTCATCCTCAAAGGATTGACCATTTTCCAGAAAGCATTTCGCCCAACAAAGCTAGGTTCCTGAAACCAGAATATCTCAATGTTTTTTTTTGGGGGGGTGGCACACTGCAAGTATTAACATCCAGGATGGTCCATTTCCTATGGGATACGTTGGTCATGGCAACTCCTGACCTGTGAAAGTGTCCACTGGCGTCCGTGCGCGGCAGCTGAAAATCAGGGTATCCCATGGCTGGCGTCATGCCCCCTGGAAGATGAATTGATGTTCTGCTTACGCCACAAATATCCACAAATGATCGAACTGTGGGTAAATATGCCATAGGAATATAGCGTTAATGATTCATATGTATTTGTGTATTCCAGAAGCCTCATAGTTCTGTTGAATCTCGAATTTGCAATGATCCATTATTTGATTCAATAACTCATGATCAGACTATCCATCCATGAGTGGATTCAATAGGCATCATCAATAACCCATCGGGTGTCATTGATTCAACTGTCATCACCATCATTAACTAAATGATAATTCACGATAATTCGATAAATTATGGATGCTCATCGAAACATACAATAAGAACCAAACCCATTGGATCCTCATTGAACATATCACATTCAATTCATCACAATCAGGATGCCATGATTTATTGGAATCATCAGGGATGTGACAATTGGATTGATGTAGTGGTTGAATTGTCCAAGAATATGATCAACAAGTTTCAATTGTATATTCAACCAGATTGACACACACACACATTTATATATACATATAAACATATATCATATATATATATATGTATATATTGTTCCAAGTACATTTTCAACTATTTATGATGTTCAACGATACATTCCACATATTCAACCCATGAAACATTGCGGCATGGCCTTGCGCGGGCCCCTTCCGCCGGAGGCCCTGACCAAGGAGATGGTCCTGGAAGCCGTCGAAAGCTGGCAGAGTTTGAGCGTTGTGCCTGGCTATGACCCATTTCTTACGGGTGCTAAACGTAGGGAATGGATGGGAATGGCGGAATGGGATGATTACTACTAGTGATTATGATGTGATTATGGATAATAGCAATTCCTAGTATCACCAGTGATGATAATAGCACTTGATAATAGTACTAATTTACTTATTACTAAGTCATACTAAGTAAATAGCGTTTGAATTTATCCACATAGCTCCAGAGCCTTGGATCGTTTTTCGGAGATGGGGATCTTTTGTACCGAAAAAAATTAGGGGAGAAACTCGTCATGAGACTTCTGGGATTTTTCACCCAGAAAAACAATCGGATTTTTCACGTAGAACACGTGGGATTTTGGAAACAAGATATGGGAAAAATCCATGTTTTCTGTGAACAGATAAAAATAGATTTGGAAATTATTTGGAAACACGGTATGTGAACAGATAAAGGTTAAAAACACCACCGTCGGATGTTTTTTTTTTGGGCTCAGGAAATCCCAGGAAATCCCCAAAAAAGGGCGTTGTGATCCCAACAGTCTGAATCATATTGGAGCTAGTTCTATACGTTGATGTATTAATTTATTTCTTCACACAAGTCATGGTCTATGATTGGGTAGCTAGCATCCGATCATCCAAAGTGTGTTTTTGCTTGTTTTGCTTGTTTTCTTGCATTTTTCTACGTCAAACTGGTGGTGAAAAACCAACCCGCTGGTGGATTCAGGCCGTCGGGCTGAGGTGATGATGAACCCAGAGAAGACCATGGTCCAGTTCATGGTCCCCCTGGAGTGAGGGACGGCGGGGACGGCGCAAGGCTGTCGTGCCGCTGTGGTGCCATGGGGGTTCTGCAAAGAAGCGGCAGTAAAAAACGGTGCTGTTGGTGCGTTTTTTCCAGAATCGTTTAGGGAAAGATCTCGGAAAAATTGGGGAAGATATCTGTATCCCCCAGTTGTAGAGGATTGAGCATCACTCAAGCACTATATAATTAGAATTGGTGGTTCCAGTGAACACCCATGGAGGAAATATGTTGGGAACCTGATCATGAGATCGTTCAAGTTGAGTGAGTCAGAAGTTATCGCACACTCCGCTTCGATTTGCTTCAATGATGTGTCAAAGAGATTCAAAGAGCGTAATTTGAAACACACAGCCGGTTAGATATGTATGTAATTATATAGTTGGTTCCATACTCACTGTTGGTTAGATTAGTGAATTGCTGTGAACTTCTTTGCATGGCTTCCTGCAGAGGGGAGCACATTGGTCATGCGACCAAATGTGCAAACAGTGCCGGGAATACACTGTGCCCTGGTAAGGAAAAATATTATGCCACCCCTTCAACAAAGGTAAGGATGGGCAACTTCAAGCAACTTCATCATGATTTGATTGAATTTGATTATTGATCGAAAGATGTCGGTTCACAGTTTCGGGCACAGTGTGAGTGGCTTATGGCGTATTTCGGGCGGCCCGAAGCAGTTCATCGCGGGGCGAACTGCCGGGGTCGTGAGGTTCGTGAGTGGCGTCGGGGCAACACTTGTGAGAGGGTGATGTTGAGTAGATACATGGAAAGTTTTGGTTCTTTGCTAATATATTTATATATATATATATTGTAATGTATTAATTACTGTATTTGTATCATTGTACAGCAGGATGCATTTGGACCCAGGATGGATAGCTAGCGGTAAAAGATGTGAATCCATGTCAATCCTAGGTATGAGTTTTGACGTTGAATCAGATGAACCATGAATATGTGAATGGAGGTTGATGCATCTGAAAACCATTGGCACGTTTCTTTATGTAATCAGTTTGCGCCATCATCATGACCATGGAGTTATTACGGTGTGCATCAGATACACATGTACACATATTATGCATGTAACCCATCAAACAGCTGAAGATGTGCTGATGGTTCTGGCGCCTCTGGTTTCGATTTGCGCCTTTGCCAGTGGCTTTTATAGTTTATCATTTCGAGGGATGAACCCTCAATAGCAGCTGCAAGCAGGCAATCGTCCTGCGCTTTCAGCGCTTTCAGGCCATGTTTTTTGCCCTTAACATTTGCCTGACAGTACCAAAAAGCGTTTGTGATGTTGCTTGAAGTGGGGAAATCAGCAGCTGGGGTTTATTAATACATATACACACACATATATATATATATACGTACATACATATATATATATACTGTATATATATATACTGTATATATATATAATTGTTTCAGTTATTTTTCTACAGGGCACACATGCACACACACACAGATAGATATAGATATATATTTATAAATAATCCGGGTAAATTAAAAATCACTGGACCTCACTGGAATCATGGTTAGTACGTAAGGGATAATTATACCACAATCACCTTATTTCAGGTCGGATAATTACTATATGTTACCCAGATATATGCGTGTGTGTGTGTGCGCGCATGTGTTGTGTGTGTATGCCAAAACAAAGATTGAATAGTAATTTTCCATAAGTTACCAAAATTTTAGTGGTAAGAAGATTCTATTTATTTTTTAGGGTGTTGCTATATGGGCTGTCAAGTCTTGGACTTAATCATCTGTGATCGTTTTTTGTGGAGGTTCTGATGTTGCAGAACCAGCGACTAAATCTCTCAATGATGGTAATGCTAGGCTATTCCGATCCAACCAAACCGACCAAACCCCTTTCTTCTGTTTGCTCCCGTTGTGATCCCCCCAAAGCACCAATTCAATTCGGTCCTGAATCAGATGCCCAGCCTCAGCGCCAGGTGCGAAGAACCAAGCCATCCAGCACGTGCGGCAAAATCGGGACTGAAAGTCCAAGTCCCGCATAGTTTACATCAGAATAAACAGGGTCCTTGAGGCGGAAATTATAAGATCACATATTAGATTATATTAGTATATAATCATGTATATATATATATATTATAATATAACACGCACACACACAGATAGATAGATAGATAGATAGATAGATAGATAGATAGATAGATAGATAGATAGATAGATAGATAGATAGATAGATACATAAGATCCATGTGGGGATACGCAGCTGTCACTTAAGTGTCAACTGATCCAACCCCGACACCAGGAGTTGTGTGACCGATTGGTGGGATCCATGCGGCAGAACTTGGCGCGGATCCTGGAAGACAGGCCATGTCGGCCATGTTTTCTCGCGGCAAAGAGGGACAAAAAGGTGGAAAATCCTGTGGGAAAATCCCAGGGATCCCGAGTAATACCCCTCTGGTAAACTGAGATGGCTATAGAAAATCACCATCTTTAATAGGTAAATCAACTATAAATGGGCCATTTTCAATAGCTATTTTGACATAACCAGAGGGTAATGATTTATATGTGTTTCGTTTTAAAAGAAATGATGATCAACCATGAGATTTTGGTATTTGACAAAGGCTGGTTGATGATTGTTTTTTTTTGATCCTTACCTCGGTGCAATATGCAAGCCTGGGCCATTCTTTGGGCATTGGCCGCAGCCTCTTGAAGTTGTCCTGGTGTTGAAGCGGATGGGAAACAACTTACTGTAACTGTAGTAAAACCTAACTTTGGAAATGATCGCAATCTCCAATTTCAATATAGATAAAAAATGATAAATACATAGATAAAACATTTCATTATATAGATGCGGTGGATTTTTCATGATTTTCCTTGCCAGATTTCAATACCCCAAGGCCCCAAAGATGGTGTGCGTTTTTTTTTAGTGCCTCCGCGCAGTAGGTGGACACCGGATGGAGACCCTCCAAAGAAGCGGCGCACAAGCGACGCGGGGAATCAAAAGAGCTGCATGAGGGCAGACCTTCCCAGGTTTAGCTGAGGGCACTGAGTTCTTGCCATACAGATCATACAGCTTGGTAAAAAACACCTGTTGGGCTTAGATATATCCCACTGAACTATGAACAGGGGATTGGCAAACCACAAAGTTGAAAAAACATGCCCAAATTGGATGAAATTGGGACAAACCTGGGTTGATTCAGCCAAGAATATGGTGAAATGGCTGTAGGAATTCGAGATGCAAACTGAACAAATGCAAAATTGATGCAAACTGCTCCATTTCCAGTGTTGCCAGTGGCCATTTTCATACCCTCAACTACTTAAGGTCTAGAAGGCCCCCCCCTGGAGGGGCTAGGGTCTAGGGGTCTAGACTGATAATTAGGGCATTGTAGACCCTTCCCAGTGGTACCATTCTAGACCCTTGGAATTTGGAGTTTGAAGCTAGCAAAAAATGAAATATAAAATCATAGCATTCTGGGGCCCTACTGTCAGGAAGCCATATTTTTTTTGGTTCACCCCAAATCCCTAGCAGCACAGATTGGAAGCAAAAATAAAGGGATTCTGAAAGAGAGTTTTTGGATGGTTCTGAAATATGATACGGAATATGTTTAGTTTTCGAACAGGTCTTTTCAAAACTATCATCATCCATGGCATCCATGGCATCCATGGCATCCTTTAGTTTTCAAAATCGTTTGGTCCCGCGCTTCTCCTCCTTCGGGGGCATCTCTTTCTTCAACCACACCATGGCACGTTGTGACTCCTGCCAAATTCAAGGAAATCAGGGCCAACAAAAATTAGATCGACTGCTTGAGGGGTCTGGACTTGAATCATACCAGGGGCACAGCTTTATCACATAAAAGAGCGCCAAGGCAAAGCATTCAAGACCCCACAGGTTGAAAATACATCTGGACATTACCTCACCACACACATGGCTGGGCACACCAAATTGATAGTCAACAACATATTCTGTGTGCATCCAAGGTCTAACTTCAAATCCAATCAGGGCCCCACAGGCATCTGAACACCACATCCCAAAGTAAACCAAAGGAGACCCCGGTTAGCAAAATGACTAAAAAAAAATCGACTTAAAAAAAAACATTAATTTAGGTGAACACTGTCAACAAATGTGAACAACATGGAATGTCTCATGTTGATACTTTTAAGATCTTTTAAGCATCACCTTGCGTAACCAATGCTTTCTGCAAATGATTTCACAACCTTCAACCACATCAAAGCCCGGCAAACAACGAAGCATAGGGTCTAAAATGTTTTTCACCCAGCGTATCTTGACCTCTGTGTCCTTGTAAAAACACACAAACCTTTTCAGACCCTTTACAGCACCTAACTCCTTAACAGGAACTAAGGGAAAAATAGATCGAAGGGTCTGGACTTGAATCATACCAGGGGCACAGCTTTATCACATAAAAGAGCGCCAAGGCAAAGCATTCAAGACCCCACAGGTTGAAAATACATCTGGACATTGCCTCGCCACACACATGGCTGCGCACACCAAACTGATAGTCAACAACATATTCTGTGTGCATCCAAGGTCTAACTTCAAATCCAATCAGGGCCCCACAGGCATCTGAACACCACATCCCAAAGTAAACCAAAGGAGACCCCGGTTAGCAAAATGACTAAAAAAAAATCGACTTAAAAAAAAAAATAATTTAGGTGAACACTGTCAACAAATGTGAACAACATGGAATGTCTCATGTTGATACTTTCAAGATCGTTTAAGCATCACCTTGGGTAACCAATGCTTTCTGCAAATGATTTCACAACCTTCAACCACATCAAAGCCCAGCAAACAACGAAGCATAGGGTCTAAAATGTTTTTCACCCAGCGTATCTTGACCTCTGTGTCCTTGTAAAAACACACAAACCTTTTCAGACCCTTTACAGCACCTAACTCCTTAACAGGAACTAAGGGAAAAATAGATCAAAGGGTCTGGACTTGAATCATACCAGGGACTGTCAGGAAGATGATCAGGCTGAGGAGTCTGATAATTCAGGGTCGGACTGATCTACTTGAAAGCCATTTTTTTGAAAACCATTTGGAACAGTTTTGAGCTACCTCCATTTTTTGAAAGCAATTTGGAACAGTTTTGAGCCACCTGTTTTTTGTTGTGTCCCTGACCCGGTAGGATGACATAGAATGGGGATCAGACTGCGGTGTCTTTTCACTTGGGATTGCAAAATGCTCACCAGCGGCGCATGCAAAAATATGCAGACATGTCATGCATTTGGCGCAGATGAAAAGTTGGACTTTTTGGAGCATATGTAGAGGCAGTGGGAAAACCATAGTAGACCTTAAATACTGGACCAGCCCAAAGGTCTAGATGAACGAAATTATTTTTGCATTCCCCCTGGTCAAACAACCCTTTAGATCCCACATTTAGGGTCTACACAGAAGTAACCCACCCCCCCCCAAGTAGCTGAGAGTATCCATTTTCTGGGTTCTTCCGTCACAAACACAGAGGCCATGCCATGCGAATCTTACGCCGGTCCAGGCTGATGAGCCCACAGTTTCTAGATGTTGCCTTGACCAAGGTAGGGTTGTGGCTCAAAGTTTACAAACATTTGGATAGTTTGATATAGTTTGATATAGTTTGATTTGAAGGTGTTCATCATATAATTGATATGATCATAATTTATGATCATATGAAGAGCTACAAGCATCTTTCTGGGGTGGTGCCTATTCTTGGAATAGCCATGTCGCAGCTCAAGAGACGGAGATTTGACGGGCCAGCCCCAAGATAGTGATATGATCAGCTGTGCAATTGTGAATTACGCTAGTAAAACTAGGTCAATCTTACATGGATACAAACTAATCCTTTAGATTCCTTTAGTCTTTTGGTATTAATGGGAATATCTACTAACCAGCAAAGAATTTAATGTTTTGCTATTTTTTGCAGTGTATCTAAGATTGGCAATGTTTACAGACCAACCTGTAATTTGTTTGCAGGGCAATTCCCAGCAGCTCGTTTGTAGACTCATTCACACTGACTTACTGCTGTCCGCTGCAGAAATGGCATTGAAAGTCACCACGGGGAAGTTCATCCACTGGGCAGCTGTTGGTAGGTGTCCGGATTGGATTTCCAGATGGTATACCCTCTGGTAAACTAACATAACTATGGAAAATCACCATTTTTAATGGGAAAATCAACTATACATGGCCATTTTTAATAGCTATTTTGACATAACCAGATGGATCAGACGGTATATCCCCAAGAAAAAACCATCCGCCTCCAGCGAAAGCGCGCTCCCTTTTTGAACGATGCGCTGGATGGCGCTGGATGGTGTCAACACAGCTTTTCACGTCTATGTGCAGCACGGCAGCGCTAGCTTTGAGATGCGGGCCACCAGGGCGGCAACAACCCTGCGGAACTTCTGAAGACAAGCCCATCATTCATAGATGACCTGGTTGGTGGTTTCAAACATGGCTGCTATTTTCCATAATATATAGGATAATCCTTCCCATTGACGAACTCATATTTTTCAAGATGGTTATTGCACCACCAGCCAGTAGATTTTGTTTTACAATTTTCATCCACGGCCAGTAATAAACAAGGGCTGTTTCATGGGCTGTTTGATGATTTCAGCTCCGTTTTTTGCGCCTGGGAAGAGTATACCCTCTGGTAAACTAACATAACTATGGAAAATTACCATGACTAATGGGTAAATCAACTATCAATGGCCATTTTCAATAGCTATTTTGACATAACCAGAGGGTACTCGATTTGACACAGGGGAAGCGAAGGACCTAAGGATCAGGGAAGCAGTTCCCCTCCCTGGACGCCCAGGAGTCGTCCAAATCCCATTCAGAAGGTGGAGGAGCTCCCAAGATGGCGAGATTCTGATCGCCTGGCGATCAACATGGTAAAAACCCGGCCTAGCACAGATATTGGAAGGTCAGGGCTTTATAAACCCTCAGGTAAACATAGAAAAAGCTACTGAAAATGGTGATTTATAGTGGATTTACCCATTGAACATGGTGGATCTTTCCATAGTTTTTTTTTTTGGTTAACGTTTACCAGAGGGTAACATGTGAAAAAACCATCCAATGGCTGTCGGGTACCCAATTTTGACCCGTACATAGCCAAATGTTGGGATTGAACCCCCATGGCCCTATGTTTATACAACGTGCCGTCATCCGACACAGTCGTCAATAACAGCTTTATAAACGCAGGCGGGGTTAGTGCCACTGGGGTTAGTATCCACAACAAAAACCATCCTGTGACAGGCCTAGCTGGGATGGCAAACCTTTGAAGATTAAACTTGTGTGGTGTCTACCTTGGTTTCAAGGTTTCAAACATATTTTTCCCACCGTTTCTGGGATGTTTGGGCTTGGTGAATGCGACTGGCTGACTGGCCTTTTTTGTCGGTCCAGAGAGTTGGAATGATTTGAATCTCTCGACTCAATCTCTCTCCATAGTAAGCTTCGACTATGGCAGATTCAATTGGACCAAATCATCAGTTGATAAAAAGGCTGCCCCTTGGTAAACTTGGTAAACGTTAACCAAAAAACGAACTGGAAAGATCCACCATGCTATTAATGGGTAAATCAACTATTTCGACTGGGCATGGCTTCAATGTCGCAAACTTAGTTAGTTTACTTGGCCAGATTGCCATCCAGGACCAGCTGAGAACGCTGGCCGACTTTAGAAACATCCGGTGTTTTGGTCGGTAGCTTGTGCTACCCACTTGCAGTCCAATCTGCAAATGGCCACTTCGAGGATATCTAAGATACAGTACCCATAATATCCTATAATATTCATTAATATTCCATAATATTCCATAACTGGTTGGTGGTTTGGAACATGAATTGTATTTTTCCCTGTATTGGGAATGTCATCATCCCAAGTGACGAACTCATATTTTTCAGAGGGGTAGGTCAACCACCAACCAGATATAATTAGTGGGGATACATGCATATATAATAGCCAGATCATATTCCACAATATTCCATAATTACCGAGACAGCTTAGGTTTAGATGTTGTTTGGAGTCCAACGTTGATGTTTTTCCAGCATTCCCAGGGTGGATAGCCCCAAGAATCTGATATGGTGTCATGTGCACGGCTGCCATTTTCAAAAAAGACCCAACTTCAAAGTTGAAGATCCACCTATAGTGATGGTTCCTGGGTATGGGTCAAAACATGTCAAAACCCGCCCAGCAGGACACAGCTGTCACCTGGTTTCAAGGAATCCCTACAGGAAGGAGGGTTGAACCATGTTGAAACTGTTCCATACTTTCTTTATAAAGTGTTTCTGCTCTGAAAATGAAGCTCAATTTTCCCAGTCACATTGCATTTTGAGACTTGGGGTGGAATATGATATTACAATATGCCCCACCCATTTCAGCTACCCATGTCCCATCATTTCCCCATTTCGGTCACGCAGCCAGGACTGCCAAAAGATGCACTGCTACGAGCACCCGGAGCACTCCGAGTGCCGTGGCCTCTGCCGTCGCCAAGCGGAGATGAAAAACGTGGAGCGCGTGCAGTGTCTCGACCAGATGGGATCGGAGGACGACAGGGATTTTTCTGGGGGGAAATGATGGAACATATATGATGGAACATATTGGCAAGGGTTTCGAATCTTGGAACTATTTGGAAGAATTTGGAACATGTCTTCACAGACATGAACAGACTCATTTAGGCATTTTAGCAGCTGCTTAGGTCTTCGTATATGCTACAGATCTTTAAAGGGAGGACACATCCATGGAGGTAAACTGTGTACGTTGAGGTCGCGGGTTCCACAACTGCGTTTGGGCAACAAGTCTGATTCAGAAAAAACATAATGCTTTCTCGGTTCAAACCTCTTTAATAGTCCAATCAGTTCTCTCCATAAACTAATTCAGGGACTGTGCATGTTGGAAGATTTTGGATAAATTGCCTCCCAAACCATCCAACCCAACTTTACGGTTCTTTCTGAATTGGGAAACACAGCTGGAACATCATTCGCTCAGGCTGCGTGCATCCGGACGATATCGTGACTTGGCATCAGGCACCCATGTCTCTTCACTCTAGAACCTCAAATAATGAATAGGTGTGTGTATATTATATTATATATATAGCCTATAGCTATATATCTATTTACATGCATATTTATCATATTTATGCAATTACTATTATTGATCGATTGCATATGCGTTTGTGTTCCTGTGTCCCCAGTCACAGCGACGCTGGGCGTGGCATGTGGGAAAACATGATTGGAGCTTCTCCATCCCAAGGTAGTCCCCGACATGTGGATGACTTTGAGATACAGTTCCTTGGAAGGAAAGGAGGGACTGTGGTTTTTGCCCATGGCCCCAAAAAACAAAAAAAAAAACAAAATCACCAAACAGATCCATAAATAAATGGGTCGTAAACTTCATCCCCAAATGTTCTTTTCAGCATTGGGTTTACCACATTTTGTGTTTAGGTGATTTGTGCCCGAAAAAATATTGTGCAGCTGGGTGTTGCGCTCCCAAAATGGAGACAGCGTATGGGGATTATTTGTTTCGCCTCGTTTTTGGAGCTTGGAAAGAGCTTGGAAGGCAGACCACGAAGTGGGAAATTTAGGATCAGACTATTGGCAACTATATGCAACTATGACAAAAACAACGGAATAAAGCGTCTACCAGGTGCAGTAGTTTCATCCACAGTATGACCTTGGGAATCCAAAAGGTCAGACTTTTTTGGGGGGTGGAACCGGGTGGAATCTGAGAATATTTGAAGCCACCCCGAAAGAGGGCTTCGGAGAGAGGGGAGTTGTATGCTTAATTATACAGTGTGGTCACCTACTCATAGAACAACTAGTGTATCAGATGTGTTATTCAGTAAGATGGTGACCTTCATTCGCAGGGCATTGCCAAAAAATCAATTGGAGGGCCACGTTGACTTCATAAGCACAGGTGTTTCTGAAGATTGCTGACCCCCAAACCATGGTTCTGCCAAACACCCCAAAATGGTCAATTTAGAAAGGACAGTTGGGGACAATACACACACACATGGTTTAATTTGGGGCTTTCCTCAGAAGTTCAGACAAACCCGAAATGAACCACATTTTTTTTGGGGGGCTTGACAATTGACACATCCTCAAGTCTTAGTAGGTTATACCACCCATGGTATCCCAAGTACATCCCATTCCCTGGGTTTGTTTAAGGTTATTTTTTATTTTTCCAATGGAACATCCACCAATATTTTTATTTTGTTGGGGACCCCTTAAGCAAATCCAAGATTAAATCTGGTTGGTGGTTTCAACATTTTTTATTTTTCCATATGTTGGGAATGTCATCATCCCAACTGACGAACTCCATCATTTTTCAGAGGGGTAGGTATGCCACCAACCAGAAATCACATTGTCAGGAAATTCCACACTCTGCCGGGGCTGAGGCAAGCCATCGCGGGCCGAGAGAAGCCGCCGCCCGTGAAGTGTACCTTCAGGCGGGCTGCGGTCTGCGCCAGAGGATCCATCATATCATAAACAGGGATTCACCAAATGATTGGTGGTTAATATAGATTATTACCAGAGAATATTACCTATAAATAATATATGGTTAATATTGGATGTTTCAATTTAATGAACCATCAGAATGTGGGATTCGCCATCATAAACCATGCACCAAACAATTGGATCATTCAACCCGGGATTAATAAACCCCTAGGTTGTTTAATTGGGAAGGTACTATTTAAGTATCAAATCGTGACTATTGGGGGAATACCCCCCTGATTAATAAACCATGGTCTAGTAATCCGGGGTTGACATTATATACACCGGATGTATTTGGATTTCTCCAATGATTGACAATCCCCAATTAGCACGCATAGTAGGGGGTTGTTGTAAACAAGCCTCATGGCATGCCAAGGAACACACCACAAAAACGGGGATCCCTTTGACCAGAGCTACTTAGCAACCACAAACGTGTATGTATATATATACAGCATATATATAAATATAATTATATATATATAGTATAATGGAAAGCTAGGTGTGTAGCAAATGGCATCCATGTGGCAAGGAAAGTCATGACCAGATCCATTTTTGGATATGATTTGTTTGTATATCTGCGGCTGCGCTTTGCGCGTGGAAGCTTCTTTGAAGGATTGTCCCGAGATCACCCTTTTGTTGGCCAGTGATTTGTTCACTGCTGTGGCGTGTTGCCCACATGTAGAAACTCAATCCAACCAGCCATTGCCTGCAATTCAACCGTGCAGGGCCTGCAAAGAAGCTGACATGCGAAACCATTTGAAGGACTTGGCTCAGATGGTGCCATGGGGCACCAGTGGAAGGGCACACAAGGGCCGAGGTGGACTGTTGCAACATGGCCGGGGGGTAGCTGTCACTTAGACATGAGATGATATAGGGCAGGATTGGCAACCCATGCCACCCATGATTACCGATATATATACATATATATATACATGTATATATATATACATGTATATATGCATATATATATATATATGTATATATATATATATACATATATATATATACACATGTATATATATATACATGTATATATATATATATATACATGTTTATATATATATATATTCACTGTCTCAATCCACATCAATTCACACTGGCGGCTCCATGCCCACATCATCCCACATCCCCATTTTCTCAGCATTTTGTTTTCAGGGCTCAGTCAGATGCATGGCGCATCATGCGCCGCATGGCGTAGCCTGCGCGGCCCACCTGGCGGTGCTGCTGACGACCGCTGTGGCAGATGGTCCGGGGGCAGCCGTGCCCGGATTTGTGGCGAACGAGCACTTCAGCCTCAATGGGGCCAGTGCCACCAAGGTCTCCGCGGGCTGTTGGAAGGTCATTGACACTTGGACATCCCAAAACGGTTTTTCGAATGTGGTAAACTCAATGACATAAAGGTTTTTTTTTAGTTTATAGCACCCATATAGAAGCCATTGATGGGGATTCTGGTGACTTATGATGACATTTGGAATAAAGTTGGTTCCAAGATATGGAAGATAATGGTGATGACTGCCCTCATGGGTTTCATCGTACATTTCCAGGTCTCCATTTTTTCAACAGCAAATGTGTCGGAGTGCCAAGAATGCCGGGTTTGGTGTAGATTGTTTTTCCAGTTGGTACTAAGCTTCCCACGCCGAGGAGATTGGGACGTGGTTTGACAGTGGATCACGTCATGCCACGATTCGTGTGGACTCGGTGTCCCAAGATCAAGCCCCCGGGGTTAGCTTGGCCCTTGGCGTCCTCTACGGCAGTCTGGAGGGCCGGGTGAACGACGCAGCCATGTCCAAAGTGACATGTGGATCCTCCGGAAGCAGCGAAGTTCATTGGAGTGTCCGCTATGGCCATAGTCAAGGAAAGGAATATTTGGGAAACAAATGGGGCTCCTTTGGGTTTCTTGGCTAGCGTTGTATTGTGGCAGATGTTTGTTGACAGTAAAAAGAAATTGATCGTTAGAAATATAGTTGTATATAGGTGTATGTATACATATATATATATATATATATATATTATGGGGTGCCCCCCCCCCTGTACCTACCCTTTTTGTACTTTTACTGGTATTTACGGTGTTTTTTTGCATATTTTGGGATATATTTTTTAAACGTTTTTTCAAATCCATTTGGACATAGTTTCGAGGGGGAGTACCATATATATATATATATATAACCGTGGATGTAGACAAACTTGTGAGACATGATGGTTCTGGCATCAAGAGGTCTTAGGAGGTCCTAGGACCTCACTGGAACCAAGAACCAAGAACCAAGATTGCACAGAAAGTCTTGGGGGAATCTTGGTTCTTGGTTCCAAGGAGGTCCTAGGACCTCTTAGTTCTTCTTCCTTTCAGACTATGTCTTAAGTATAATTCATACTAATGTTGAGCCGAGCTAGTGTTTTTTTCAGATAACTTGTTATCTGAAAAATTGCTCCCCTCCAGACACAAATCAACAAAAACCACTTCATAAACATCATCAACCAATAACCCATAAAATCACAACAACACTCAACCACAGAACCCTCAACCCTCAAAAATTCTAACAGCATAACCTTGCCCAACTATCATCACCAAAAAAATGTTATAATTTATGTGGTATTTTGTCGGGCAAGGTTAGGTTGATAGAAAAACTACATTATAAGACGATGTTTGTTGAAAATTATTGTATTAAAGTGTTGGGGTATTTATTTTACATAGTATTTATTTAACTAATATGTTCCACAACTTCTATTACATCTATCACAGTATATGGTATTATATTGTCTAATGTATGGGTATATTCATTATTCACCCTTTGGCAGTTAAATTTGTTGTTATATTTCCACCTTTAATAATTGTATGAAACCCACATCCACAGTAATTGCATTGGTTAGTTATATTATCAAAAAACACTTAACATTCACATAACCTTCTTTTGGTATTATTCGTTTTGCTTTCCTGTCCTGTTGCTTGTAATTTGCATTTTTTCGTTCATATTTACTTTTCATACATTTATAATTGAATTCATCATTTACATCATCACTATATTTATAAAACTTTACTTTGCTTAAATCTCTTGCTCTTGTAATTGCTGTCCATAACAGCTCCCTATAATTTCTAATGTCAAAATGGTTATAATCAAATATTGCTATATCTCCATCTATACTACTACCTTGGGCAGAATGGCAGGTGGTGCAATGAGCAAATATGAAATTATCTCTTACCTTCTTAATTTGAATGGATTGCGGTATATTAGTTTTAGTATTTTTCAATGTCATTACCCCATCCTTTCCAATATGGACAATACCATATTTAAAATTCACATTAGGTACTGATGTAGGGGTTTTAGTGTATTCTCTACATATCAAAAATTCTCCCACTTCATATTCATCTTTTCGATTTTCTAGTTTCCTAATTTCACTTGCTACATTCTTACAGGTATCATTTATGTAGGCAATGTTATGCTTTGAACCACTTATACTAGTAGTATATCTGAAATATTTTTCAATTACTTTCTTCTTGAAAGGTAGTTTATTTACAAGAATATCAGTTTTTACATTGCTTATGTTTGTCTTTATCCTCTTTTGTTTTCAGTCGCTTACATTCTTTTAATAATATATAATATACTATTACTATTTGTGAAAATATTGTTTATGAATGTTTATGATATGGTCAGCATATACTTCATACTCTTGAATGTTAGTTAGTGGTTGAATAGGTTTTAGTTGCTTTGTGTCTCCTGTTGCTACTATTATTTTGTTGTTTTTATTCTCTTCTACAAATTGTTTTATTGTCCAGTAGGTGCTTAAACTACTGAAGTAAATTTCATGAAAAACTTACATCATACCCTGAATAATTAAATGGTTCTAACATTACATCACCAAAACTTCTACCAAAAAACTTATTTAATGTTAGTGCGTCTCCTTCAAATTCTTGAAGCACTCTATTAGTAGGACATACAAACATTACCTTATACCCTTTACCTACCATTTTCTGACATATAAACTGTTGCCAGTTCCAGCATAACCCCCCCCTTATCATAATTGGGTTATTTTCCTTGTTAACTTCTATGATATCATCAGTGGCATATTCATTTTCAATATCAATTACCAAAACAATGCACTCATCTGGTGGAATCCACATTGTCAACAAAGGCTAAAGGTAGGTACAGGAGGGGGGGGTAGCATATATATATTAAACCTAGTCTTTACAACGCGTCTAGTGTTGTGTGACGGTGATTTCTATCCACTGTTGCTCGTAGCCATCAGTGCTCAAGGCAGCACGGCTTTGCCCTGAGGGGCAGACTCCTGCGGGAGAGGCAGAACTCCTGCGGGAGAGGTAGGACTCCTGCGGGAGAGATCTGCCAGTGGCCTGCGGGCTGGACGTAGACCCCTGAGGGGGAGGCGGGGCTGTGGCCCAGGCGGCAGCATGCCGGGTCCCTGGATAGGGGCCATGGACAACAGTGGGTTCATGGCCTCTCGGGACTGGGAGGTTGGAGACCTCTTTGAGTGTCGCATGTACGACAGCAGCCGTGAGGAACAGAAAATGGCCATCTGGAGGGCCACAGCCATTGGAGAACGTTCACATGGAAGGTGGATGAGAGGAGTCCTGGAGGTTGTGGAGGACGAACACCTCAAATGGTGGCTGACACATGGCCCAGGGTCTAAGTGTAACAGGACGTTTGAGATCCACATCTGCAATGGGGCTGTGCGCTCATGCAGGGCGCATGATGGAAAGGATCCGTTGGCCTTCCACACAGACTACCTGAGAATGTTGGAAGTCCGTGACATCGAGCTGAGACGGGCGGCATGGTGGCAAGTTGGTGTTGCCAAGACTGACTTTGAAGCCTTTCGCAAGAGGCTGCTAGGTGAGGCCCGTGGCAAGGCAATCCTGGAGAAGCAGGCCGAGGAGGATGTCTTTGATTTGGAGGCCTCCCCTGGTGCTGGGGGTGAGGGTCCTGGCTCCATTCCACCTGCGGGTGAGGCTGGTGGTGCGCTTGGCCGACAGCTGGCTGCGCTGAAAAAGGATGTGGACAAGGAGCCTCAGAAGAAGAAGCACAAAAAGCGAGAGGAGAAAGGCAAGGACAAAGACAAGGCAAGAGGTGCAGATGCTCCGGAACGGGAGAAACGCAAAAGGCCGAGGTCGAACTCACCGGCTGGTGGCGCTTCGGGGTCATTGGTGAAAAAGGGGCCGCTGTGGTTTGGCAAGGCGAGGGCCCCGAAAGAAAGGGCCAGTTCAGATGCAGGATCAGACCGCTCCAGGGGACGTGGACGTCGGAGGCACTCGCGCTCACCGTCCTCGAGAAGTCGCAGCCGGCGGCGGAGAAGGAGATCGAGGAAGGAAAGAGACAGGGGTCCCTATGGCATTGGGCGTGAGATGGCATTTGACAGGGGCGAGTCAGGCCCATCTGCTAGCGAATCGGCAGAAGAGGGTTTTCAACGGGGGGTCTCGGACAGGAGAAGCCACCAGCTGAAGCTAGTGGAATACTCCCAGAAGAGGCCAGGTCGTCTGGCCAGCAAGCTCTTAGTAAAGATGCAAGAGCTTCTGGCCCGCGACACCGGGACCCCCATCAACCTCCTTGCCTCAGAGAACATGACACCAGCAACCGCAACCGGGTACTTGCTGACAGTGCTCATACCCACGCACAAAGACAAGTTGGGAGTGCGCTTGTTGCGCGAGATGAGAACCGTGGCCATGGCGCTCGACTACGTGGCGACCGGCCGTCAGGAAGCGGCAGCAGATCTGCTAGCTCAAAGAATGAAGGCGCTCGAACTTCAACTGGTGGACGGCGGGTGGCAAAGAGCGCAATATTTGGAGCTCATCCAACCCGAAGGCGCAAGCCTCGCCGAGCAAGAAGAGCAGAGGATGGCAGCCAGGGAGCAGGCAACAGAAGCGAAACTGAGGCTTCAAGTGCAGCCCAAGGCTCCCTGGAACCCAGAACCGAAGGGAAAAGGAGACGTGAAAGGCAAAGGTCGAGGAAAGAAAGGAGGAAAAAGAGGCGAGTGGACAACCGCCGCGGCGGAGATCAAGGAGAAGGCGCCTCCAACATAGCTGAGCCCCTGGACACCCTTGGCAGCGATGTCGAGGTTGAGATTGGCTCTGACTCAGGCCAAGATGTGGTTGGAAGCTCACTGCGAGCGCGTCTGCCTCGTCAGATAGGGTGTCCGCTGAGCATGACAGAGTGGCAAAAGGAGTGCTGTGATTTTTTCAAGGAAAGGAAGTCCTACGCAGACTTGGGACACCACTTGTTGGATTTTGTGAAGAAGCTGGACTCACCGTTGGGGCACTTTGTTAGGTCGTTTCGTGATCCAGCACAGCCGACTCCGGCCGCCGAGGCCACCTTTGATCGAAAGGGGGATTTGTTGCCCATCCATCCGTCGGTGGTGCGCCCTGGTCAACACGGGGTGACACAACAAAACCTGGAGTGGGTCCAGCTCTCCTTGTCCCTGATCAACTTCAACTATTGCACTGGGTGGTCAAAGCCGATCTGTGTACCTATGGACACCAGGCTTTCGGCCAACCAGTGCGCTGCGGTACAAGAGGTCGCCAGAACGGTTGATGACAACATCCTGGACGCCGACATTTTGCCTACCCTGTCTGAAGCAAAAGCAGCTCTTCAGAGCAAGAGGTATGACTACAGCGGGAACGCCGTGGAGTACATGCAAGAGCTGGAGGCGGATAGGGTGTTCCCCACCTGGCCTAGACAGGGTGAAGCAGGCATCAGGTGCATCACAGAATTTCTGACTGGGGAAGTTCAAGAGGCCATGCAAGACCCGAAACAGTGGATCCTGCCCGAGGACAAGCAGCCGGTGGCGTCAAAGCGCTCCCTGGTGCGCGCCAGTGATCGGGAGTGGCTGAAAATCTGCACTGAAGGCTACCGACGGGGAATGATGTGCATGGTCGACGACAAGGACGTCCCGCGGGACAGGTCAGGCCACCTTGTGGTTAATGGCGCCGGGGGTGTCAAGAAAACCAAGATGGTGAACGGGCAGGAGAAGGTCCTTCAGAGGTTTATTTCGGTCCTCATCCCCACCAACGAGCACATGCTTGAGCTCCCAGGGGCACAAGACACTCTGCCCTACGTGGGGATGTTGACAGCACTCCACCTGGGGCCTGATGAAGAGCTTTACATGGAATCGGAAGATTTCTCCAGTGCCTTCAATTTGTTCAGTGTGCCTGACGCTTGGTGCCCATTCTTTGCCTACTCGAAGAAGGTGGATGGGGCAGCTTTTGGAAAGCCCGAGTTAGGAAAAGTCAGGCCAGCACTCCGAGTGATTCCGATGGGTTGGAAATCCGCCGTGACTTTGGTTCAAGCAGCAGTGCGGCACATTGTGTTTGATCTCACGGGAGTGCCAAGAGCAACCTCTATTGAGAAGGGTCATCCAATCCCTGAAGGAAAGCACTACACGGTGGTGTACCTGGACAATTTTGATGAGATTCGGGTTTATCAGAAGCTGACAGCTGAGCTGGAGTCAAGCACGGCGAGCCCGACCGATACTCACCAGAAGTTCAACGAGGTGTGTGATGGCCTTGGATTACCGCGTAATGGCTCAAAGCAGCTCATTGGGGCTCTGGCAGGAGGAATTCAAGGCGGTGAATTTGACGGAGTTCGAGGCACCATCAAGGTGGGGCGTGACAAGCTGAAGAACTTCTTGGCGATTAGCATGGCCCTGCTGAGTGCCCCCACGGTGACAGAATTCCAAATCAGGCACTGGATTGGAAAGGCGGCGTTCATCGCCACGTTCAGGAGACCTTTGTTCTCAATCCTGCAGGAGGTCTTTGAGCTGCTGGAGAGGTGTCGTGGGAAGGCACAGGTTCTGCCGCCATCGGTCGTTGACGAGATCTTCTGTTTCACTGGCCTGGCGGTGCATGCTCAAAGTGAACTCCGGGCACAAGTCTCGCCGGAGATCTCCTGTACGGATGCCTCACCCACGGGGGGTGGCAGTGCTGTGGCGGTGAAGTTCAAGACAAAGAGCCTTGTCGTGCCTGAGGAGGTTGAGGAACGAGCGCAATGTGGGTGCTGCGGCACAGGGTTCACTGGAATGGAGGACGAGAGGCGGCTGTACCCTTGCCCCAGAGATTTTGCTCTGCCCTCTGCGTGGCGGACCATTCAGACGGTGCGTGCACCAGGCATGACTTCTATGCCCCGAAATTTGGGGAGAGGTTTAGCGGGCCCAGGTATCCATTGTCAAAGGCTTGCGGGCTGGCGGGGATTGCGATCCAGAGACCAATGGACAAATTAGTACCTGGTGACCCGTGGGACATCCTCACAAGTGAGGGAAAGGAACGCTTGGCTGCGGCCGAAAGCGACCCCAGTCTCAAGGCGGAGCACTGGGCACCTGAGTGCCGCACTTTCTCTCGGGCAAGGGGAAGATGGATACAACTTCCTGACGGGAACTGGATCCAGGGACCACGGCAGGTCCGAAGCCCTGAAGAGCCATGGGGATTTCAAGAGCTCACCAGGGGCGACTCGGTGGCTGTACGCCAAGGCAACCTGTTCATGAGGAAGGCGCTGAGGGCGTTGGTGAGGCGGCATCTCGCAGGGGGGCTGGCTTCGCTGGAGCACCCCTACAACAGCTATGTTTGGGACACTGAAGAAGTTGACGAGATGCTGCAGTCTGGAGGGTGGTTTGTGACTTGTTACAGTCACTGCTGTTTTGGTGGCGATCGCATCAAGTGGACACAGCTCTTCCACAACTCACCCTTCCTTCATCGTGCGCTGCACAAACCTGATTGCCCTGGGCACTCTGACCTGCGGGGTTACCGGGTGACCTGGGGCAGCGATGGTCAGTTGAGCTTTGACACGGCGCTGGAGTCCGAGTACCCCTGGGGCTTCTGTACCGCTTATGCCGGTGCAATGGCTGCTCATCTCCGGTCGATCACGCCGGAACCGGTGGGTGATTACCCGAGGACGCTTGAATCTCTCCTCTATACCCAGGTTCGTGGTGCGACCAGAGGGCTGCAGGATGAGCAGTATGTCATCAGGGTCGTCGCCGCGGTGTGCCACACTCTCAACAAGATGACAGAGGGTGCGGAGGCTGACCATCTCCGGTGGCTTCTCAGGCAAGTGGGTCTTCGAGGAACCGATGTGCGCATCAGCATCCCGGACCAGCAGATCACAAGAGAAGAGGTCTACCCGTACCCGGCCTTCCGGTGGCTTTGGAAAACGGTGCTGAGCTACAAGTGGGCCGCAGAGCAGCATATCAACGTGCTGGAGGTCACCGCAGTGCTGACCGAGTTTCGGCGTCGGCTGAGGAGCGTCGACAATATGAACACCAGGTTCCTGAATGTGGTGGATAGCCTGGTGACCTACTTTGCATTGACCAAGGGCAGGTCGGGAAGCAAAAGGATGAACAGAACCTTGCGGCGTGTGATGGCATTGAACCTGGCAAGCAAATCGGTGTTGGTCTCCTTATGGACGCTGAGCAAATGGAACTACGCCGATGTGGCGTCTCGTCGGTTTGAAAAGTGATGCCAAAGCGTCTTCACCTCAAATTCAAGGGGATCACACCGAAAACTGCCAGTGCCTACCGCAAGGAAATCCACAAATTCTTCCAATTTCTTTCCTCTGAGGAGGAGGACCTGCCCACTGATGCATCGCATCTTGATGCCATTTTGGCTGAATATATCAACTCCCTTTATCAGCAGGGAGACAGTCTCACCCAAGCAGGATGGCTTTTGAGTGGCATGAAGAGATTTTTGCCTCGCCTTCGCTACCAGCTGCCGACAGCCCGGCAGTATTATGGCTGAGAGACCATGTTCCTTTGCGTGCCACTCCAATGCCGTGGCTGGTGGTAAAGGCTTTTGCGGCGGTAGCGTGGCAGAACCATCACTATGACTTGGCCCTCCTGCTTCTCTTGTCCTATGTTTTCTTTCTGCGTACTACAGAGTTCTTGACCTTGCCAGTTGAAAATATCGTGGTGGACAGCCGCTCAAATCAAATTGTGGTCACTTTGGAGAAGACAAAAACTTCCAAGCAATTTCAGCAATCATTGGTGCTGCGGCACAGGGGTCTGGCCAAAATTGTGGCAAAAGCCCTTACTCGGCTTCCTCTGGAGGGCCCAATCTGGCGGTTTCCACCACGGGTTTTTCGTGAAAGTTTCACCCTTTTGGTCAATCATTTTCACCTTCAGGAGCATGCTTTTTCTCTTTACAGCTTGCGCCGCGGTGGTGCTACTCACACCTATGCATGCTCCCGTGACCTTCACTATGTTGCCTTACAGGGCCGCTGGCGGGACCTCCGCACTGCCAGAATTTATTTGGATGATGCGAGAGCTACCTTGGTCAAACTGGCTTTTACCCCACCCATTTCCCACCACCTTCATCAAACGGCCTCCTTCTGGGCTTCTTTCAAATAGCTCCGCCAAGAGGCATCGACTGGGTGCGATTGGGATTGGGTTATGGGGTGCCAGGCTTTACCGCTGCGGCGGAGGCATCTTCTGCCTGCGGGCAAGTTAGGCCTGTCCGTGGACAAGGTAGGTCCTGTGCGGGAGTCTCCATGAGCGATGTCTCTGGGGCACCCAATCTTGACCAACAGCACGGCTGTGCATGGAAAATTGCAGGTCGTGCAGTTCTTGGGTGGATTGAAATATAGATTGAACGCGCAATGGCGGAAATTATCACCCCAACCGCCAGAGTGACTGAGTGCTGAGTGGCTGGTCCAGCCACTCTGGCAGAGTGGCTGAGTGGCTGGTCCAGCCACTCTTTACCAGCGTGGCTGAGGCAGCTCTGGCCTGGGCAGTTGGTGGAGAGTGGACAGGGGGTGAAGTGGCTGAGTGCTGGCCAGTGCACTGGCCAGTGGCTGAAATTATGGCCCAGCCACTCTGGGGAGTGGCTGAGTGGCTGAGTGGCTGAGTGGCTGGTCCAGCCACTCTGGCAGAGTGGCTGAGTGGCTGAGTGGCTGGGCCAGCCACTCTGAGTGGCTGAGTGGCTGAGTGGCTGGTCCAGCCACTCTGGCAGAGTGGCTGAGTGGCTGGTTCAGCTCCTCTGGCAGAGTGGCTGAGTGGCTGAGTGGCTGTATGGAACAGTTTTTTTGGGATACATACGTAACTTAAGCCCCGCACAAAATTCTCTGCACACATTGCATCTGAATTTATATTCTTTGCTGGCTCGGTTTCGCGATAATGTTAGTTATTTGTATGTAGTGTTAGGTCCCTACAAGATAAAGGAAGACACCCGAAATTAACATAAAACCTCACTCAAAAAACTACCCAGAGCTAAGAAAAAATTAGGTCTGGGTAATGCTGCTTGCACTCTATTAGCTAAGCTACACATGACTTCTTTCTTACAATCCTTTAACACAGATGTTTGCATAAAATTCCATTCAATCCATAAGAATATATACCCCCGTTCCCTACAAGATAAAGGAAGAAACCCTAAATTAGCTTCAAACTTCACTTAAAAAATTAGCCAGACCTAGGAAAAATTACATCTGGATAATACTGCTTACACTCTATTGACTAGGTTGCACATGGCTTCTTTCTCACAACCCTTTAACACAGATGTTTGCATAAAATTCCATTCAATCCATAAGAATATATGCCCCCGTTCCCTACAAGATAAAGGAAGAAACCCGAAATTAACATAAAACCCCACTCAAAAAACTTCCCAGACATAAGAAAAATTAGGTCTGGGTAATGCTGCTTGCACTCTATTGGATAAGCTACACATGACTTCTTTCTTACAATCCTTTAACACAGGTGTTTGCATAAAATTCCATTCAATTCATAAGAATATATGCCCCCGTTCCCTACAAGATAAAGGAACACACCCGAAATTAACATAAAACCTCACTCAAAAAACTACCCAGACCTAAGAAAAATTAGGTGTGGGTAACACTGCTTACACTCTATTAGCAAAGCTGCACATGACTTCTTTCTCACAACCCTTTAACACAGACGTTTGCATAAAATTCCATTCAATTCCTAAGAATATATGCCCCCGTTCCCTACAAGATAAAGGAAGAAACCCTAAATTAGCTCCAAACTTCACTTAAAAAATTAGCCAGACCTAAGAAAAATTAGGTCTGGGTAATGCTGCTTACACTCTATTGGATAAGCTACACATCACTTCTTTCTCACAACCCTTTAACACAGATGTTTGCATAAAAATCCATTCAATCCATAAGAATATATGCTCCCGTTCCCTACAAGATAAAGGAAGAAACCCGAAATTAACATAAAACCCCACTCAAAAAACTACCCAGACCTAAGACAAATTAGGTCTGGGTAATGCTGCTTACACTCTATTGGATAAGCTACACATCACTTCTTTCTCACAACCCTTTAACACAGGTGTTTGCATAAAATTCCATTCAATCCAAAAGAATATATGCTCCCGTTCCCTACAAGATAAAGGAAGAAACCCGAAATTAACATAAAACCCCAATCAAAAAACTACCCAGACCTAAGAAAAATTAGGTCTGGGTAATGCTGCTTACACTCTATTGGATAAGCTACACATGACTTCTTTCTTACAATCCTTTAACACAGATGTTTGCATAAAATTCCATTCAATCCATAAGAATATATACCCCCGTTCCCTACAAGATAAAGGAAGAAACCCTAAATTAGCTTCAAACTTCACTTAAACAATTAGCCAGACCTAAGAAAAATTACATCTGGATAATACTGCTTACACTCTATTGACTAGGTTGCACATGGCTTCTTTCTCACAACCCTTTAACACAGATGTTTGCATAAAATTCCATTCAATCCATAATATATGCCCCCGTTCCCTACAAGATAAAGGAAGAAACCCGAAATTAACATAAAACCCCACTCAAAAAACTTCCCAGACATAAGAAAAATTAGGTCTGGGTAACGCTGCTTGCACTCTATTGGATAAGCTACACATGACTTCTTTCTTACAATCCTTTAACACAGGTGTTTGCATAAAATTCCATTCAATTCATAAGAATATATGCCCCCGTTCCCTACAAGATAAAGGAAGACACCCGAAATTAACATAAAACCTCACTCAAAAAACTACCCAGACCTAAGAAAAATTAGGTCTGGGTAACGCTGCTTACACTCTATTGGCTAAGCTGCACATGACTTCTTTCTCACAACCCTTTAACACAGATGTTTGCATAAAATTCCATTCAATTCATAAGAATATATGCTCCCGTTCCCTACAAGATAAAGGAAGAAACCCGAAATTAACATAAAACCCCACTCAAAAAACTACCCAGACCTAAGAAAAATTAGGTCTGGGTAACGCTGCTTACACTCTATTGGCTAAGCTGCACATGGCTTCTTTCTCACAACCCTTTAACACAGATGTTTGCATAAAATTCCATTCAATCCATAATATATACCCCCGTTCCCTACAAGATAAAGGAAGAAACCCGAAATTAACATAAAACCCCACTCAAAAAACTTCCCAGACATAAGAAAAAATAGGTCTGGGTAATGCTGCTTACACTCTATTGGATAAGCTACACATGACTTCTTTCTTACAATCCTTTAACACAGGTGTTTGCATAAAATTCCATTCAATCCATAAGAATATATGCCCCCGTTCCCTACAAGATAAAGGAAGACACCCGAAATTAACATAACACCTCACTCAAAAAACTACCCAGACCTAAGAAAAAACAGGTCTGGGTAATGCTGCTTACACTCTATTAGCTAAGCTACACATGACTTCTTTCTTACAATCCTTTGACACAGATGTTTGCATAAAAATCCATTCAATCCATAAGAATATATACCCCCGTTCCCTACAAGATAAAGGAAGACACCCGAAATTAATATAAAACCCCACTCAAAAAAACTTCCCAGACATAAGAAAAATTAGGTCTGGGTAATGCTGCTTACACTCTATTGGATAAGCTACACATCACTTCTTTCTCACAACCCTTCAACACAGGTGTTTGCATAAAATTCCATTCAATCCATAAGAATATATGCCCCCGTTCCCTACAAGATAAAGGAAGAAACCCGAAACAAACAACTTCCCAGACATAAGAAAAAATAGGTCTGGGTAATGCTGCTTACACTCTATTGGATAAGCTACACATGACTTCTTTCTTACAATCCTTTAACACAGGTGTTTGCATAAAATTCCATTCAATCCATAAGAATATATGCCCCCGTTCCCTACAAGATAAAGGAAGACACCCGAAATTAACATAAAACCTCACTCAAAAAACTACCCAGACCTAAGAAAAAACAGGTCTGGGTAATGCTGCTTACACTCTATTAGCTAAGCTACACATGACTTCTTTCTTACAATCCTTTGACACAGATGTTTGCATAAAAATCCATTCAATCCATAAGAATATATACCCCCGTTCCCTACAAGATAAAGGAAGACACCCGAAATTAATATAAAACCCCACTCAAAAAAACTTCCCAGACATAAGAAAAAATAGGTCTGGGTAATGCTGCTTACACTCTATTGGATAAGCTACACATCACTTCTTTCTCACAACCCTTCAACACAGGTGTTTGCATAAAATTCCATTCAATCCATAAGAATATATGCCCCCGTTCCCTACAAGATAAAGGAAGAAACCCGAAATTAACATAAAACCCCACTCAAAAAACTACCCAGACCTAAGAAGATAAAGGAAGAAACCCTAAATTAACTTCACACCTCACTAAAACAAAAACACACCTAACAAAAATTAAATCTAGATAGTACTGCTTACACTCTTTTGACTAGGTTACACATAACTTCTTTCTGGCAACACTTTAACAGAAATGTTTGCATAATCCCATTCAATCCATAAAAATATATGCCCCCGTTCCCTACAAGATAAAGGAAAAAACCGTAAATTAGCTTCAAACCTCATTTAAAAGATTACCCAGACCTAAGAAAGGTCTTGGTAATACTGCTTCGTGTCCATTGGCTAAGCTGCACTAGCTATTCACCCACTTGGCTAAGCTGCACTAGCTATTCACCCACTGAGACATTCTGCCAGAGTGGCTTGGTGCATACTCAGCCGCTCTGGCTTGATGGCAGCCGCCTCTTGGCTTCGGCCAGAGCCCTCCGCCCCTGGTCCACTCAGCACTCACAGCCACTCCACTGGCAGCCACTCAGCCACTCAGTTACTTAGAGTGGCTGAGTGGCTGAGTGGCTGGTCCAGCCGCTCTGGGAGAGTGGCTGAGTGGCTGAGTGGCTGGTCCAGCCACTCTGGGAGAGTGGCTGAGTGGCTGAGTGGCTGCTTCGATTTCGCGAGCCGTGTTGCACATCCACTCGAAATATATATAAATATGTGTATGTATATATACAAATATACATTAGTAATCATTAGTATATAGCGTTGCCTAGACACCAGTGATCCCCGGAGCGTCGGTGCATCTCCAAAGTCAGATCATCTTGGATCAGAATTTACATGGGGAAACTCCCCCTTTCATTTTTTCATAGATTAGCCGCGAAATTTTGCAGGAAAAAATGGGGTTGTTCGAAAATACCCATCAACCAATGGAATCCAATGGCCGCTTGCACTTGCGCGTGTCTGAAAATAGGGTATGTCCTAATCCATTGGTTAATCCGTGGTGACAGTATGTTTCTTCAAAATAAACATGACTCGGGGGGTAAGAGCGAGAGTATTTTCGTAAACATATCATGTTCCATTCAAAACCCTAAACATACCCTCTGGTAATTTAACGTAGCTATGGAAAATCACCATTTTTAATGGGAAAATCCACTATAAATGGCCATTTTCAATAGCTATTTTGACATAACCAGAGGGTAGCCATAGAAACTTCACACATGTTCCCGATGAAGCGACACGTAACCGGTCAAGGCCTCGGCTTTTCAACGGTGACGTGGTCTCCATGTTGGCCGATGTTGGGCTACAGCGGGTGGGCTTCGCCGTGAACGGCGCCTGCTACGGGGCACTGAGTTTTGAAGCCTCGCGAGTGGTGCTGGCCGCAGCGATGTCGATGAAGGACGCAATGGGTCCCATAGGTCCCAGGGTTTATGAAATTGGGTATTCCAGGATAATTACCTGGTAATTTGGGATGATATTTTTTAGATGACCCCCATGGTTAATGGGATGCTCTATGGCGGTTTGCCACTTTTATTAAGGGGGACGCGCCAGCCATCGGTGCTGACCAACCAGGGTCATAATTTTCACACATGTTGCCCTGCAAAGATTTCCGCACAAGCTGGTAAATTCGACTTGGCATGGAAATAATATCTATGCACACACGATGGATTTGCCGGCCATTTTCCTTGACTACTGTAGAGAGCACCATCATGCGTCATCCATGTCAGCATATGTCAACGAAGCAAAAACACAAGCAAGAACAAAGCATAACAAAAGCACCACCATTTTCAATAGCAAAAAAACACGACTATCAAAACCAATGCAATCTTTGAACATATTAAAAAATAAAACAAAAACAGAAACACACGCCTGGTGACCAGGATCTTAGAAATGCAAAACCCTGAGGAAAAAGGCAAACGTGCACAAAAGAAAAAGAACATACATCGCGAAACAAAGAAAATAATAAGAAACAAAGTAAACAGCAGCAACATAAAAATAAATAAACATAAAAGCAAACAAACAGAATTAATCTGGAGTTCTGGAGTTGTTTTGTTTGTGTTTTTTTTTGTTGTTCTACTTGTTTTCGTTTGCCTTTGTTTGTTATGTGTTTTTTTGCATTGGGTTTTGCTGTGTTTTTGGTTTTTGTCGTTTTAAATTGAATTCTTCATTTTTTGGACTTTGCCTGCAAGCCGCGTCACAATTCTAAAATTCCAAGCCACCGACCCACGTCACCAGTTGACCATGTGTTGATCAATTACATATACGGTATACATACATATACATATACATACATATATTTATATAACATACATATACATATACATATGCATATACATATACATATACATAGCCATAGGATCCATGTATGGTATATATGCTAACATTTGGGGTATATTGATGGGATCCATGTTACCATATATAGCAGCACCATGGATCCTATGGGAGGACACCATCTCACTGAATCAGACCGCCACTGAGGCGCCGTGATGGGTGAGAGGGTGGATTGGGGATCAACGGTGATTCATGGGCATTACTGGGGATGAATGGGGGATTTTTTTGGTGGTATAAATTATAAATGTGTACCTTATGGAATATACATATACATATATATATATATTGGATAATCTGGGTAAATTGTAGTGACCTCACATCGTGACCGAACCCTGGAATCACGGTGAATGTATAGGGAAATCATCCCCAAATGGCCTTTATTATCCTTTATTCAGATTGGTATAAAAGATTGTAATTTACCCGGATGATATGTCCCCAGAACACTTAGTTCCAGCAATTCTTATTCCGATTTTTTCGCCATGTGGTACTTGTCAGGGAAAAGGATTTTAAAAGGTGCCTCCTTTCATGATGAGTTGAGGGTGCAATTAAACAGAATCGTGCGCGTCCCTTGTTGATGGGTCGCAATTCAGCTGCTTATTTTATCACATCTAAGCAGGAAGCTCATCTCACCAATTCTTTTGCTTCTTTCCATGCAGGATTTACTGTAGATCATCCATGCATCACTTGGAATGTCTCATGCCAGTGCACCCGGCAAGCGGTGCCATCCACGTCTTTTTTTTGGGGTTACCTCGTGGGCAATTTCGATCCGTAAGTCTCCAGGATTTGTTGTCAGAACTTATTCATCTTATTCCAGGTACAATTGAGATACTTCTATCAGCCACTTCAAGTATCTCAGTTCCATCCTTTGATTTCATAAAACCTTTACTATTGATCATTTTTGCAGCAAAAAAACATGGTTACATCATGTTCCATCCCTATGATGGATCCGTGAAATCTTGACCGAAATCGCAGGATCTCCCTGCTTGCCTCTTCCAGTTGTCGGCCACTGAGAGTGCCAGTGCTGTGAGTGGAGTTCCGCTGCTCACCATGAGCAGCTCGGTAAGCCTTGGTACTTTGGGGCCCCAGACCCCCTTCCAAAAGGAGTGGGATATTCTGCGAGTATGATATCATAGAATCATATTGAAGATTCACTGGATTGGTTGAGAAATCTGTGGCGATTTTTTTCCCATTGAATAGGGGGACACGGCATGTTAGTGTCCTTCAACCAACCCCAATGAATTGAGCCAGTGGTCAGGAGCGCTGCGGAGCCATGGCTATCCATTTTCGCAAAAAATGGGCTGCCAAGGAGCAACAAAGAGTTTCCTAACCCCATGATGTTTGCAGATAATTTGCTCACCTACTGTATGTTATTTATATATGTTATAATATGTTGAAGTAAACAACAATGATCCGTGTATGCGTTTCAAAGGGCCAGAATGATGGGGTTTCGCTTGTTCCCATTTATGTCCTCATGGCCCAAAGGGCCCGTGTTAAGCCACCGTTTCTAGCTGGGTATTGGACATCAGGGGACACATATGATACCCTTTGGCATTTGAACATAGCTATATGGAAACTCCAGCATTTTAGGAGAATCATCGAACTAAATTAACTAAACGAACCATTTTTCTGTAGCTACCTGGGGTTTGACAAGCCCAAGGCATCCTGCTGCCAGTCATTCTTGCGGTGACGGCCTACGGTTGATGATTTTTCTTCCGGCCCTCCGGGACTCAAACGTGGCGGAAAATCCACCATTTGGTGGATCACTTTCCTCGGGAAACCGTGGGTGTTCCACATCTATGCGAATTAGTTTGCATTAATTTACCCTACAATAGTTGTCAATGAAAAATCCTCAAGGCAGTCATGATGAGGTTGTAAGGTGAAAAAACAGTGTTTCCTGTCCGCCAGTTTACACGAAAAATATGAAAAAGTCACTCTGGGTAAAGTTGACGACCTTAAGTGCCACCGGCTGCCACAACTTTCCATAATAATGATAGATTTGGTCTATATGGATTGATTCAAGGGACCATCCAGCAATTGGATTGTTGCAATTTCTGCGAAGCCAAAGGCGCAACGTATCGAAGGTTTCACTGCTGCTCCATGCAGAAGTCCATGCGTGGGGAGCCTTGCAGGACAAAAAGCTCGGCCAGGGTCGGGCAGGGTGGCGATTTCACTTTGCCGCCACCGATGTGTTGGTGTGTCTGAACATGGAATATATCTGACCAATGGCAAGTTTTTTGTGGCAGAATGACGAGCAACCAATGGATTTAGGGGCATCCTAAATCGGATGTTGACATGAGCTGGCGAGAACATACCAGAAATAACTTCACATTCCGCACAGTTGCAGCACAACAAGAACGAGGCAGAGCCGGTTAAAATGAGGGTGACCTTCAAGCCAACTAGCTGACTTTGCGAGTGTCAAGGGCGCAGAATAGTTGCAGCCATCATAAGCACAACAACACAGCAACCAGTTGGAAAGTGATATGAACATGGCATTTGGGTAGATTTGGCATTCTGCCAGAAACATTTCAAGACGTTCAGAGTAGTTTCGGCAGTGCAAAGTGCGGCCCTGGTAGACTATAAATGTCATCACCCTTTGCATCCACTTCACGGATGAGGTTGAAATCTTTTGCTGGAAAAGATGTGTATCTAGTTTTCGGGATGCAGCACGTTCATTTCCTTGGCTCTGACGCCTTACCAAAATGTAGTGCTCGCACGCTCATGAATCCATATCTATGAATGTGGGCTAGGTCAGCAGCAGAGAAATCTAAAAGCAGCTTGGTGAGCCTTATCCAGATGCCACGGCTTCAGGCCTGTGGCAACATGCACCCAAGGATGTATCAAACCATATCCAAATTTACATGGTTCCTTTTTGATAGAACTTCAACCCTGGACCCTGAATTAATCATATGGATTCGTATGATAATGATGATTTGACCATCAAGCATGGTGACTTAACCAGCAAAAATGTTACATATATCATATATCATTGCATACTTGGTGGCTCATCTCACTTAGTAAGTGGCTTATAACCCCAATTATAAGTGGATTAACCCTACTTATCCCATTTATAACTGGGGTTATAACCCACTTACTAAGTGGGATGAGCCACCAAGTATCATGGGTATTATTCATGTGGTAAACCGGCCATAAACCTCCGATTATCGTGTTGGTTTCTACGCTCGCCATTCCTAGTTTCAGAGGACTACGCCTTGGTCGAGTCCGTGGGAGGCTTCAACCCCAATGCGCCGCTCGGGCTGAAGGAAGTCAGTTGCATTTGAGTAGTAACCCCAAAAGAACAGATAGAAGTTAGATAGAAGTTTTAGTAAATAAGTAAAATTGGAATCTAAGAGATAGTGATGAATTGACATGAATTGAAGTTTTTATGCACTTTTGTTGCTTAAAGGGGTTGCTTGACTTGAGCCAGGTCAGCATGACTTGATATGTTTGAGCCAGGTCAGCCATCACCCACCTTTCAACAAACAAAAGGCTGCGATGTTTTAATCTGAGAACAGGTCAGAAAAGACCTTGAAGATCGCGGGTTGCAGTTCCAATTTGACAGGTTTTTAGTAGGCTTCGGCCCGGCTTCGGCTTGGCAAATTTAATGGGTTATAATGGGTTATGCTCACAGTTCTTCTGTGCCAGTTCCTGGCAGCTGCCAGTTCTGTTTGTTGTGAGGCCTATGCAGGGCCGCTTGCCAGCAACTCTCAGGTGTTTGTTGCATTGTTGTTTAAGTTAAGCGCTCGCTAAGCGAATATCAGGACAACTATTATATTTAATACGGGTTTAGAGTTTATAGCTTTCTCGTCCCCGCACATGGTGTCCACTCCAGACTCCAGAATGACTACATTAAATAAGTCGTATTAAGATGATTGTTAAATTCTTCAAAGTCGCTTGGATTCTAGGTGATCTGCAGTGATTCCACCAGAGTTTCTGGATGGTCGTTGATGGTAGGGATGATATGATTTTCTCCTCCAATTTCACAGAGGTAGCGCTGGATCAACCGAGGATCAGTACTGAAGAGGACTTTAATCTTTTGCTATAGCTGGGAAATCACCGGTAAAGACTGACCTGAACAAAAACGAAGAAAACAACACACCTGGAGGGTATCAAAGATTGGCAATGTTGAAAATGGGACTGCCTCAAGCTGCAAGGGCTTTGGTAGACAGGTCGCTCAAACCAGTTGGTGCTTTGAATGATGATGTTGCCCATGCCGCCCACTGGGAGTTATTGTTTCCCTGGTGGCAAGCATATCCAAACAATGGTTCATTCTTTTTTGGTGGCTACCTCAATTCTCCAGACTTCGGGTGAGATTGTCCCAAGATAAATAGTAAAGAATAAGCCTCTGCATATTTTCATATAGGGGAGCCTGCGGGGTTCAACCACCAGTCAAACAACGGGGACTTACTCATCCAAACCCCAATGTGTGGGTACTACCCATGCCATTTTTTTCGTGTTTACCACGAAGATGTGATGGTTCACATTCTACACACGACCAGCCACATGCAGGAGACCCAATTATATATATAACTGGTTCACAGGAAAATGATGATCCGTCAAACCAAACCATTGCATCCCAGCCACATACCCACTGGTCGGTGACTAAACCATTGTACGGTTTCAATCCGACCGAGCGAAATAGCGAACTACCATCTGAATGATGATCCCAATTGTTCCATCTGTTTGTTTCAGATTGTTTCCAATTGACAGATGGGTAGATCGGTAGATCGCAGCCCAGGTAGCGATACCGGACTCATTGAATCGAGCTGCGGGCGAGTGATGGGCCTTTTGGCAATGGCAACGAGCCAAAGGTGGCCCGGTGGGATGACCGAGATGAGTGTCAGCGGTCAGCGGATGTGTCAGGTTTTAGGTTTTGAAAACTGATATAGAAACATAGTGTTTCCCTTCCCCCGTTCTTAAACAGCCCCTTAGAAATCATGGTTTAGTAAGGGATTTCCACATTTTTTTGGGACCATAAATTGGGGTGTTTTTGTTGGGGGATGGGATTAGAATGGATTAGAAACATGAGTCTTGCAGCCTCAAAAGATGGACCAATGGACTTGCAAGACTCATCAGTTGAGTGTCCTATGTCCTACTGTGGATGGTTGAGAAATCCGATAAACCACCAAAAGGATGGTTGAAAGCCTATAAATAACGGGAAAAACAGGGATAAACCATCTATCAACTGGTGCAGGATTTTGCAACCATCCACTATTTCCAAGAGCCATGTGCTCGTGGATGCCTCCTTTGATTTGCGCCTGGAGCCTATCATTAAACCCCCAGAGAGACAACATCTTTTGGCGTGCGAGGAACAAACTTAAAACACATCAATCAACATGTCTTGTCAATGTTGATAATTACTCTAATGATTTGTTGGTGACTATATATATATATATTCACATCATATGTGTATATATATATATGAGATTTTTTTTGTCCAACTTGATGTGCCCCGAGCGCCAAGGTGCTCGAAAACTGCCGCGTGGTGCAAATTCCTGTGATTCAAAAACGGGCGCCCCTTGGGGTGCTGTTTTTTGGAGGGAAATAATATGAAATAATGAGACTTGTAAAGGTATGATAGGTATGTATCCCAGGGCACTATTAACTAGACATAACTAGACTATACTATTATATATATCGTTTTTTCAATCTGATAAATTATGATTTTGTGGGATTTTTAAAGATGAGTTTTCAATGCCCCAGACTTCTCCTGGCCGAGTTCTGGTCCGATATTTTTGTGGCACAAGGCCACGGTGACAATTTAAAAGGCTTTCATGATGTCATTTTGTTCAATCTCGAAAAAGTAGAATTTGGGGATGCTTGACTGTGTAGATGGGTACTTCTCAAAAATGGGGCGGGGGGACTCTAGACTCATAGATGTCAATATTTGTTTATAGGCCGATTGTGGATCTTTTGATGTAAAATCGTTATTTCAGGATATTTCAGGGAGCTTCCATACCAACGATTCGGCCTTCGCGAATTTTCCACGCAACCTTTTCCAAGCCTTGGCATGCTTAACTCTGGAACATCGGGGTGATCTGAATCGATTCCGGCAGAATGAAATACCCTCTGGTTATGTCAAAATAGCTATTGAAAATGGCAATTTATAGTGGATTTTCCCATTAAAAATGGTGATTTTCCATAGTTATGTTAAATTACCAGAGGGTATTGTAAACAAATCACTCATCAAATGGTTTCGATATTTCATCAAAACTCAATCATCACTCATCAAATGGTAAACAATCTTTGAGTTTTGATGAAATATTGAGCCATGCTGACCATGCTGACCATGCTGACCATGCTGACCATGTTTCACCGTAAATCGATCAGTGGCACTATTTCTGTGTCATGTCGGCGGACCCAAGATCCCATCGAATGGAAGAAATAGTGTGTGTTTTTTCATGGGTTTTTCTACTGCGAAAGCTTGATTTGTTTGGCCGAAACAAGCTTCAATTTTTCATAATGTTTCTGTCACCGACCTCCCCGCATTTGGCTCAGGGGCTCAGGGGGGGGTTGTTGCACCATCACCGCGCAGACTTTTTACGGCCGAATGGCGAGCACTTTGGTGAAGGACGGGCAGACGGTACGAGCATCGCTTGGCATCCCTTGGGGGACTTCTGGCTGATGGTTTCAATTCTATTGGTATTTTATGTGTATTTTCCATTTGGCAAATGGGATGATGATGATGGTGATGATGATGATGATGATGATGACGACGACGATGACGGTCTCAGTGGACTAGTATTTTTTTCTGGGGGGTGGGGGGCTTCAAAGCAGCAGCTAGAATCATAAGGGATACTGTAAACCAACAAGCAACATTCCAGAGGTCGCTCAAACCATGAAAATAGTATATAGTATTGATAACATGTTCGCAGATTGGCAGGTATTGCAGATATAGAAGCGGAAAAGAAAACATTGGGGTCACTACACAGACAAGGGGTCAAGAGGTTCAATCTGCAGGTGAAAAGTCAACAATGCTGGGAGCATGATCAGATGCAGGTAGAATCAACAACTAGCTGGTAGGTGTAATTATGTGTGTAATGCAGGTGTTGGGTTGTCCAAATGTCCAAATGCCCCCTGGCATGGAAAAAAATCATCCACACCATAGAAGTGGGTGATTTGATGGGTGTGGGCTACCGTACATGCGTGTTAATGATTGTATGTCATGTAAATATGTGTGTAAGATAAATACGTCTGATTATGTCTCATGCTTCGTTTTTTACATGTTTGTTTTAATGGTAAATATACGTATAAATACATACACGCACACACACACATATATATATATACATATCGAACACATACATATAGATATACATGTGTTTACGTACAGCTTGAGACAGCTTGAAGATGCTATTATTAGTTTCATCGGCTTCAGTGGGTCTCTAAAAGGACCGGGACACTCATTCCACTAAGTAATGGACATCGCTTTGTCACTGGAAGGTGCCCTACGGTGTCATCAAACGTGGCTGGAAAATCCCAGAGATAAATATTTCATGGGACATCATCTATGAATGGGTGACTTTCCATTGCCATGTTTGATCACCTTTTTGGTCCAAAATCGATGGATCTGACGATGTTTTTAAAAACGTGGCAGGCTCAGGCCAAATTTGACGTCCGACGTTTGTGAATCCAGTTTATAAATGGCTGCCATGGCCATACGCTGCTTCCTGTGCACCATCATGGCTGCGTTTGCCTTGAGATCAAAGGCGCCAGAGGAGATAAAGGGGGGGCTGGGTGCTCTGGATTCAGGCTGATTCAGGTGCCTAAAATTGAAGCAGAATGGTTGTGGCTTGAGCAGTGGGTCCTATGGGTTATACCATGGTTTCATCTCACCAGTCGGGCGGAAATTCCAGAGGTTTGGAAGCTCCGGAGTTTTTTTCCCAGTACTGGAAGATGCGACATATCTTGAATCTCTCTCAGGGAAGGTTTAGTGGGGCCTTGCTGAAGTTTGCAATGCAAGGCTGCTTCACTTTATCGATGACTCACCAAGGTGAAACTGTCGACTAGTTCCTTGTGTTTGAGGGTCCAGGTTCTTATGGCTACGAATATGCAAGAATGAATGTAAGGATTTGTGTGCAAAGGTTTGGATAAACATCAAAATCCTCAAGTAGAAAAGGATGGATGATTAAGTCATGTTGGAAGTTAATGTCCACCCCGGGTAGGCGCTTCAAGCTGCACTTCGATAAACCTTGCCTACCCCGCTGCTTGCAAGTAGGATTTGGCTTGTGGGCATGTACATGGCAAATTATTCGGAATCTCAAGCTTTTGATTGATGGTGAACATGGAATACCAATACGATAATTTCCCCTATCACTCTCCCAAATCTCCCAATCATATACATGCTTATAGTGCTTCAGTCCCCTCAGTGACATTCAAGAAACTAATCAGCGTAGCTCCAGCGTAGGAAGCTCTGAATTTGGATGACTTCGCAGCCTTGTGTGACGAGGTGGGTGGGGTCAGAACTCGGCTAGCATTCTCACCATGTTTGTACGGTGACAACATTTAAATAAATATAAGATAAATAAATAAATCAATCAATCAATAAATAAACAAATATATATATATACCAGTCAAACCGGAAAAAGTCAAAAATCAAAGTTTTCAGGAAAAACTTTTATTTTCCGGATGTACCGGAAAATTCTTGTTCTACCGGAAAAATAGCGGACTGACGTAACTTTTTTCAGTTTTGTTTTTCGATGTTTTTCGGGAATCTGGCCCTGGCTTCAGTGGTCTTGCATGTTAAGTTTCCATTACTGTTTCTAACATTTCTCAAAATGAGCTCTACGTTCTGCGCGCTGGTGCCACCCACGTCAAACTGAAATGTGCTGCTGTGCACTGCACATGCAAGCCTTTGCCGCTTGGAAACGCTAGCCACTTGCTGCAACCTTGGTGTAGCAGCTGATTTCCAGGACTGTCGGAGGGTCACCTTGCCAGAAACGCGGCTACTTGAGACATGGTAGAATTTGAGAGGAAGAACATTCCTCCCATCATCACAGCCAGCGCTGGAATTGCTGCTTTCCATTAGCAATGTGGCAGGAATCACCAGTTCTTTGATGGAACATGATGGAACATGATCGAAAATGATGGAAACATAAGCATTTTTTATATTCCGACCAAATGAACCCGGCCATAATGTAGAAAAACCCAGAGAAAATAAAAGAAAACCAAGAGAAAATAGAACTTTTGGAAACAGCCGATTCCGACAAAACACCCGGATAAATTACCTACCCGGACTGACCGCGAGAAAACCCGGAGTTAGCGCGAGAAAAACCGGAAGTTAGCGCGAGAATTTTACCGGAAAAACCCGGAGAAAATAGAAGTATTTTGCAAAAGTTACGTCAGACTATGCTGGAGTGTGTGCGCTAGACTCTCAATAAATGCAAGGTTTTGTCTGGAAAACGTCAGTTCTCTAGCTCTTACCTCGTCTATTGGAAGGATCGTGCTGGAATACAACCAGTTTGTCTCGTTTTTTGGGCGTCCTAAGCTTTATGTGTGGGAGTTTTCCATTTCCCTGTGACTCTTGCTCAGGCTTGGTTGTTGGCACATGTGTTTTTGGCCGCAAAATGTGGTTTCTGTAGGGTAAAGTATTGAATTCAGCTTTGATCGCTGACAAGTGGCCCAGCCGGCTTTGAAGTTGCGCTACACACATCCCACTTCAGCAAAATTAACCATAAAGAGAAAAACTAACCACTCATCCATGAAACCGACAATGACCTGGAGAAATTAGTTTACCGGAAAAAAAACGGAGAAAAACAACTTTACCCGGACTGACGCGAAAAAACCCGGACTACCACAACTTTTTCCGGAAAAAACATTTTTTTGGAGTTGCTAGAGAAATAGTTGTGTTTTGGGTTTGCCTGGTATATATATATTTACTGTATAAGAATATGCATATATGATATGAAGGGTGGGAGCACTAGATCCGATGCGGAGGTGAAATATTTGAATTTCCGAATGGTTTCAAATTGTGTAATTATCGGATCCGTATATACAATGATTACATTCTTCCAGCTGTATAGATGTGCTGGACCGCCAGGAACCCCTTGGAGGTGTGAGGTAGTCTAACTTTTCGGTTTTATCCAATTGCTTAAATGTTTGCGTGTTTAAATGCCGGCACCGTAGATGATGTGTTTCATTAGGGATTGATACACTATGGACATGGAAATCTCCAGAAATGGGCGTTAATTAGTCCATTTTAGCATTGAAACCAATGGTTTTGGGGATCCTCTATTTTAAGAAACCCCCATGTACATATAATACATACCCATTATGTTCGGATTCCCAGGCAGAGGGATGGAGGACTATAAATTATATATATATATAATTATATATATATATATTTTTTTGATCGTGACACTTTTTTTAGTTCCTCGGAGGGTGCGCTGTCATTAAGATGAAATGTCTGCAAAATCGGCAGAAACCCTCAACCAGTTTGGAGCTTAAACATGTTCGTTTAGACTTCCCCAACTTCAAAACAATCTACTGAAATGGAGATTCAGCACATTTAGCAAATGAAGAACATTGCCTATAAGACGATTTGGTGATATAACACTATGTATATATATACATATATATATATATACACATACATATTTCATTTACACACACGCACACACACATATATACATATATATATATATCTATCTATCTATCCTTGATATCATGTGATATGTTCGAGAATATAAGTCCTGAGAAATCCCCATATGGCCAAGTCGCAGGAGATCGTCAACGACACCTGTCGCCTACTGAATGAAGGGGACAAACACGAAGCCGTGGAGCAGTTTACCACGTGGGAGGAGACGGCGATGGGAATCGAATGGTCAAAAACCCTGTAGAAATTGAGGGAATTAGCCTCTGGTAAACTAACATAGCTATTAAAAATGGTGATTTCCCATAGTTATGTTAGTTTACCAGAGGGTATCCTCTGGCTATTTAACATAGGGAACATTGCCCATAGAAACAGATGATTTTCCCATTCAAACCTCCATTTTAAGCCTGGATTTTCCAGTTCGCTATGTTAAATAACCAAATGGTAGAAGTTAGATATGGTCAAATTTTGTCACATGTGGTTGAATCATGTTGGATATGATATATGGCTACATCATGCTACATCTATGCTCACAGAAGTGATGTGAAATTGATGGTTGGGAATGGGCAACTCTTTCATATAACATTATCAATATAATGTACATGTTCACCCACTTTAGCATAGATGTGTAGATATTACTCTTAGCTATGCATATGCACACTCTTCATACATATAAAGATTTATACATGCGAAACGCGATGCCGGCTTGACCATGAGGGTCAGGCCTAGCCGGGATGCCATGGAGTTTGGTTTCATGTTGCTTCATGCAAGGTTGTGCCCCCCCGGTTGTAAGTTGGTTTATAATAGTTATTGGAGTTATGTTCACCAACTTAGCTAACTATGGGGCACCAGCTTGCGGTTTCACGGAGAAATTGCTAAACATGATAAACAATGACTATCATTTCGAAAGATGCGTTTGTAACTAGATGTAACTAGTATAGATAGCCTGGTCATTTGTTGATCCGAATTGATCCTTTGTTTTTTATCGTTGAATCTAATGTGGGAAAACCAACCATAAATCATCCCCACTGGCTTGCATGTGCGGAACCATCTTGGGAGGTGAAAAAATGATGCCGGCCCATTTCCTTATTTGTTGCTTGGGGTGAATGGTAACCCCACAACCAACAGCTACAGGTCAATGGGAGATCAAAATCCTGAAATTTCTGAAAGGATCCGTGAGTTTACCACATTTTTTCTCACCAAATGGGGCCATTTGGGGCCGAAAATCGGCCACCTCCGTGACGCACCCAAATCTTGAAGGAGATTGCGGAGCACTTGTCCGCAGAGCCCGGGTTTCTGGAGAAGTTCAAGGAAAGAATGGGCTATGCGAGCCTTGGCCCAAACGGCCCAAACGGCCCAAACGGCCCAAACTGTAACCCGACATTCTCGTGGTGATTTCTGCCGGATTTCAGGAGAACCATTTTTTTGGAGACTTCAAAATGTGATGATTACTGTATATTTTTGATGTTGTTGAGATGTCCAACTGAAGGGTTTCTGCAACTCTTGTATTGGTCGGTATTCTTGAGCTGTCATTAAATACCCTTATATATATAATTATATATATTGTATGTATGGTGATGGAGAGAAAGAGAGAGAGAGAGAGAGAGATATATATATATACTGTATATAGTATAGAGGGGAATATCATCATCCACGAGCTGGGGCTCCGCATTCTGCAATCATTTTTTATGGAATTCCAGCCGCGGATTTTGACACTGTTCCCCTTTTGAATTTTGGTGGTTAAAGGATGTTTCAAGAGAAATCATACGTTTTCAACCCCAGAAATCGGATCATGTTGCTATTTGATGATGATTTTGAGATGTCCCAAGGGATTCATATTTGACCACTCGCCGACTCCTAAAGTTGGCTAGCTACCGCTTCAAAGCCTTTCGTTGGTCATAGGGACTCCTGTGCCATCCTGTGCGCATTTGGTGCTGTTGGCCGCCCCTCCAAAATCATTAGACCAAGGTAAAATCACCACAGCACTAGGTCAGTTGATCCTCCGGCAAACAGATCCTTTGGTAATTTAGCATAGCGAACTGGAAAATCACCCTTTTACCGGTACATATATATATAATTATATATATATGTATGTATGTCTATGTGCGTGTAAATCATCTTCAAATGGCCCAGTTTCCATAGCTATGTGAAATTTTCTAGCGGAAGGACAATCCCCGGGCTTCCCTATGGGTCGTCTGAGGGCCACGGATGGCAAAGTGTGGATTGAATGCAAGCCATTGTGCCACTTGGAGATAGCAAAGTATCGGAGGCTCTCAGGTATCTTTTGGCCAAGGCTTTAACAACTGGTTGGTGATTTGGAACATTTCTTATTTTTCCATAATCATCCCAGAGGGGTTGAAACCACCAACCAGACAAACTCATCTGCCCAAAATCCGTGGTGGCTCATGGCTTTACAAGGCTGGAATTCTTACTTGCGGTTCCCCCCCCAGTCGCTGAAGTTTATCCCTGCCGGAAATGACACCAAACATGACTAGAAGTAACCACCCCAGTCCTTGGGAGATGGGATCGCAGTTGTGGTTGTGGCTGAGGCTTGACCATTGTGGGCTTTATCAAGCAGGTTTCCTGCGGGGTGCCATGTGATGCCTCCAAATGATATAAATGATCAATCTCAATGGCTGATGGAGTAAGGGAAAATTAACAGGAAAAGTCTATATTTAGGGCCCAAAACATCAGACATATTCAGACCCTAGACTTGGAAGACTTAGATTAAGATGGAGGGAACGTGAACAGGAAAAGCTTATAGTTAGGGCTAAAAAGCCAGGTTTCTGAAGATTTTCCCATGAACAAATTGAGACTTCACCTGGAGGTGGGGGTGGTTCCGCCCAAAAGCGATATCGCTTGCTACACCCCGATGGATGAGACCTTCTGCGATTTGGATGTGCGACCATCGATGTTGAAGACCTTGGGACCCAAGAGACACTCGGCCATCGTGAGAAGTTACTAAAGTAAATTATCGCACAAAAACAACTTAATTATATTAGTAACTTCTATTAAACTATTATAACTAGTTATTATAACTATTTTTGTGGGGTTGTGAATTCCATTATATTCTATCGACGTCCGCTCGTCCAGTTGCTATATGTTTGCTTCGTCAGTCTCCAGCGGACGTGTTACCATCAGGCGATGCAGATCTGCCGGACTTTGGAGATGACCGTGGCGCGGCCTAGGGGTAATCCGGGGCATTACCGGTGGCGCTACATTGTTTTGATGTGTGATGGCATGTTTTGATCGGGATCTCCGCAAAGGATTACAAAGGTACCTCTCACAATAGGAAATTCATAAGCCCCTACTAGGGGTTGATGGTGGATAACGCCGAAACATCAATTTGTTGTGAGGTACGTGCTGGCTCCCTTCAATGTCCATTCGATGTCAGGGTTTCAGGCCCGTTACATCCATCCGCCTTGCATCCGGACACACCTACCTACCTCCTTACCTCCCTCCAATCATGTTTCGTCTCCTCTTCCTCCAAATAATGTAGTATAAATATATGTATGCAGTGAATTTCATATGGCATGTACAGGTGGCTATGATCAAGTGTAGATTCTGTTCACACATGGCACAGACCAGACATTGGGATGTTCGCAGGGCGCCCTTGAGCGGCTCAACACAAGTTATGCATATAGGTGCATGTATACATATATGTACTATTATCTATATACATATAAATAAAGAGAGAGAGATATATATATATAGAATGGTTGGTATATACATATATATATATATACCCCAAATATAGATCTCCATTTTTTTTCATTTCACCCTGCTCCTCCTGGCTGCCCGCGTTGCACGGGTTGCCACCTACCGAGTCTTCCTGAAAACTACTGGCAAGCTCGTCGAGCAGGCGGGGTCTCTGGTCAAATCCGCGGCTTTGACTGGGGAATCTATTGGGGTTACCCTCTGGTAAACTAACAGTTTGCTATGGAAAATCACCATGCTATTAATGGGTAAATCAACTATTTCGACTGGGCCATGTTCAATAGCAAACTGATAGTTTTCCAGAGGGTATATAAACTGTGGGCCGCTTAGAATCCAAGTTTAGGGCAGTTCAGGGACTCGGAGAACCAATGAGAAGTAACGGCGGCAACAATAACATCAAAAACTAGACACAAAATACTTTGCTTCGAGTGATCCCCACCCTGACAAATTATTTTGCCATAGTTTCTGACATATCATCCAGAAGTATATCTGGCGCATACTCTGACAATTATATGTGTTTTTTTTCCCTCTGGCGTATACTCTGACTTCTCTGGCATACCCCCCAATCAATCAGGTTTGCATCCAATATATATAGTGTCAATAAAATTCAACATGGAAAACCTTTTGGCTCAAACAGGTTCAAACAAACAAAAATGTTTCAGCAGAGCATTGACGCAAGGCTGGCCCAAGATACAGTAATTATATTTAATATCAGCAAGTTGTTTTTTTCTTTCCCAGTTTGTCAGTGGGTTCAAACAGGTTTTGTAGGTCAAGGGAGTCAAGTCATTGGGCATCCCCTGGGTTTGGAATCTTGAGCGTACCTGTTTTGCCTAAATGGCCGCATCGCTATGCGTTCGTATGTGTATGTGCACATGTGGTTTATATACATATTCATGTGTATATATATATATTTTTACATATATTCATTTGCTTTTATTTAAACCTTATATAATCCCCTCCCCGCATTATTAAACGTCCCCCAAATACTAAAAAACAGGCGTCCATCTCCAATTTATGAAAATTTCAGTTTGGCCAATTTGACTTTTAATTGATCCCCTTTAGAAAACAATTTCAAAATCAACTTACCATTTGTAGGTTTCCCCCCCTAATACTAAAAACTAGTCAACCCCGGGGTGTTTAGTAATTAGGGGGAAGCTTTGAAACCCAATTTTTGGCAATATTTTAATTGCGTTATATAAAGAAATTTAATTGATTTTGAAATCGGAAAAAATAGTTTTTATTATTAAGGGTTTTAATTTAATATTAGGGGGAAGCTTCGAAATCCAATTCTTGGCAATATTTTTAATTGCGTTATATAAAGAAATTTAATTGATTTTGAGATCGGAAAAAGTAGTTTTTATTTTTAAGGGTTTTAATTTAGTATTAGGGGGAAGCTTCGAAATCCAAATTTTGGCAATATTTTTCATTGCGTTATATAGAGAAATTTAATTGATTTTGAAATCGGAAAAAATAGTTTTTATTATTAAGGGTTTTAATTTAGTATTAGGGGGAAGCTTCGACATCCAATTTTTGGCAATATTTTAATTGCGTTATATAGAGAAATTTAATTGATTTTGAATCGGAAAAAATAGTTTTTATTATTAAGGGTTTTAATTTAGTATTAGGGGGAAGCTTCGACATCCAATTTTTGGCAATATTTTAATTGCGTTATATAGAAATTTAATTGATGTTGAGATCGGAAAAAATAGTTTTTATTATTAAGGGTTTTAATTTAGTATTAGGATTCCCTAATACAAAATACCACCCTAATACTAAAAACTACCTGCCGTGTTTATTATTAGGGGGTGACGTTTAGTATTAGGGAGAAGGGATTATATATAGTATAGTATATGTACGCCTTTGCTTGCCACATGGTAATTGTCAATGATCAACTTCTTGATATTAGATTCGTACAACCCCTCATTTTATTGGAATCTGTTCGATGTGAAGATGGAACAAATACAAAACATAAATGTGTGTACATTCTTTGTATAGATTATTTTTTGGGTTGCATGGATAAATAAGTTATACATAGATTCAGTATATATAAATATTGATGTCAACATCCACATTGGTATCAATATCAAGTGCAATATCAGTATTAGTATCAATATTAACGCAAATCGTATCAATATCAATATCAATACCTACCTACCCATTTACCTACATACATTCTGTGTAATCATTTAAGCCGCACACAAACACACACACACTAGACAAGAATGGATCTTTGAATAGATCCGTCAGGAGCTGAGTCCTGTAACATGCAAACCAGCTTAGGCTATTAGACCCAGATTAGACCTAAAGTAGATTATGCAGCAGGTACGTTTACACGGGTCCCGGGGGGGTGTCTTCGTTGGTCACCGACCTTGCCGGGACCCCGGTGGCCCCCTGGATTACTATTATTAGAAGGGGAGAGGAAAGAAGAAAGAAAAAGAGAGAAGTTTTACATCTATTTAGATGTTACACACACAAACACACACACGCACCCACACACTAGACAAGAATGGATCATTGTAGTGATCCGTTGGGAACTGAATCCCATCACGTGCAATTAGACTAGATAATGTATATATATATAATATATGGGACTATCGTGGCCACCAGCTGCGACTTAAATGCGCTCAGGTGCACCACCAAAGCCCAGCAGGTACGTTTACACATGTTTACACGGGTCCCGGGGAGGTGTCTTCGTTGATCACCAACCCGCCCGGGACCCCGGTGATCCCCTGCTGTAATAAAATATATCTAAAATATAAAAATGAGCCGGCAGCGAAGTTTTACGTCTATTCAAACGTTTCACACACACACACACCCTGCCTTTGGCAGGGTGGTGTTTGTGCAAATGAGGTGAAAGTGAGGATGAACGGGGGGAATGAAGATGAGATGAACGTGAAAATGAGATATAATGAGATGAAAGATTACTTAAGCGGGCCCCGAGGAGGGGAACGCAAAAGAAGAGGGGAAGAGCAAACACCGACACCAACATACCTGGCCCGGAGCGGGCAAACCCTGAAAGGGCAAGGAAAAAAGAAAAGCGGAGGCCGACGGACACGGAACAAGACCAGCGGAGGGGGGGAAGACAGAAGCGCCTGAACCAACCTCACACAGCGAAACCTACGCCTACCTCGGCACGCACAGGACCCGGCCTACCTGGGGAGGGAAGAACGCATGAAATAGGGGACCGAATGGGGAACTAGCTGGTGAACAGAAGAAAAAACGACAACAATGAGAATGGGATTCAGTTCAGTCTTAAGTAATCCTGCGTTACTCCCAACCGGGACCATAGTCAAGTCAAGCCACATGGGCATAAACAGCTGTTCAAGTTCAAGTGAATTAGGTGCACAATATGTTTGACCTCACCAGAAACCAAAGAATACCACACCTGCAGGAAAAGGACATGTTGTCTCTTGAACAGCGGTAAAAAAGAAGGTTTGTGGTAGTTCGGCAAGATGGCGATGGAGAGAGAGGTAGTTCGGCAAGGCTTCACTGGAACACTGTGAAAGTTCCCCATGACAACAGGAGCAGCAGGACGTCGAAAAAGGTGCATAACCGAAAGGCCAACTGTTTCACTACTTAGATGAATTACCACATTAAAATGTGTAAATTCGGAAGTCAAGTCGGTCCACATTCACTTTAAGAAATGTTCCCTCACGTGGGTCCATGGCACCATGTCGGAGCCACCATGGAAATCACACTAGACAAGAATGGATCATTGCAGTGATCCGTTGGGAACTGAGTCCCATCACGTGCAATTAGACTAGATAATATATATATATATATATTATATGGGACTATGGTGGCCACCAGCTGCGACTTAAATGCGCCCAGGTGCACCACCAAAGCCCAGCAGGTACGTTTACACATGTTTACACGGGTCCCGGGGAGGTGTTTTCGTTGATCACCGACCCCCCGGGGACCCCGGTGATCCCCTGCTGTAATAAAATATAATATCTAAAATATAAAAATGAGCCGGCAGCGAAGTTTTACGTCTATTCAGACTTTTCACACACACACAAACACACACGCACACACATATTTGTATATATATATATGTTTATATTTTATATTGCGTATTTATATATATATATATATACATATGTATATATATATATATGTATGTATATATATATACATACATCAGACGTATGTGTATATATATATATGCATATGATTTATGTGTTTGTTTTCTTTTTGCAGTAGATATGTTCAAACGGATGGATGTCCCTTTAAATTTGGATATATATATATATACACACAAGATACAACTTTGCATCCCCCTCTCAGGAACATAGTGCTGTGAAAGTGGAATTGGCGACGGATCCTGGCATGCCAATGGATTCTGCAGCTTGGATGTGGCATGTGAAGAGTGGTAGATGGCCGATTTATTTAGCAATCCCCCGAAAAAAGATAGAACCGTAAAATCCGAATTTAAAATAGTGATGAATTACGTTTTCTCTTTTTGGGAATTAGTATAATGTTCCTTTGCTATAGCTCTTGTATCTTATTCAGCTCCATTGATTTTGAATCTTCAAAATGGCAAATTCCCCAAAGCATCAATTTCCTTATAAAAAAATATATAGAAACCCAATTAATTGCAGAAAAGAAAAAACAACACCCAAACAGTTTTATCCAGAGGGTAGCCCATGAGCAACTCAGATCCCCAATGGTAGATTTGTTTGGGTGATTGGGGGTTGAAGTCAGTACGAGCGAAAGCAGCGCGACACAAAACAGGAATACAACCCTTTGGCTACTTTGACGCCGCTCATTTGGAAAGAAACATATGCAAATAAGTTGTAGGTGATTACAAAATATTGCAAACAAATATGGCAGAGGTACGAGAGTATGAACTTGACTTAATTAATTAAATCTGGGTGCGAACTTTGGTTTCTAGTATCTAACTCACGATTTTGTCAGGATTTTTGTTGGTTCAATATACATCTTTCACAGCGGAATCACTGACTAAGGACACACCCCTGGCCGCTGGAGTGACTTACAACTTTTGGGAAGCACTGGAGCGCTTAGCGAACTTGAGCCTTGGCAAGGGTTAGCCATGGGCTAATCACGCAGGGTGTGTTAGCACTGTGCCGCAGATAGGAGTGGGCTTGGAAAATGGGATGTAAATGGGTTGCATTTGTTCTTTCTCATCCTATGACTCGTTTTGTTGTGACTGGAAATGGGTGGCAAACAGCAAAACAATGCCTCAGCCGCTGGCCCAAGGTTGGAGTTTGGTGCACCAAAACCAGGTTTTGTAGAAACCATTTGGTGAATGCTGCGAAGATAAACGAATCCGTCCCCAAATCTAGGGGGTGCATGATCATCAAGGTAGTTTTCCCATGTTTTCCACCCTTTCTGACATGAATGCATTCCATTCAATTCATGCTCTCGCAGGTGGCAACGCCAGATCCAACAGTTCAATGATGTTCGGTTATGGATACCCCCAGTTTTTCGATGGCTTTGTGAGGCAAAATCCGAACGGTGCCCCAAAAACGCAAGGATTTCACCCTCTGAGGTTTCGGATCTATCCGGACCCTGGACCTTTGAGGGAAAACGCTGAGTTCGAGGCGAGGTGCCCAAGGCACAAGTGATGCAAACCCCGGAATTTATATGTAACAACTCATAGCAAAGCCAAAAAGATAGAAAAGTACAATGGCAAATCCTAGGAAAATTGCGGAAAGGATTGAACCTTCCTGTTTGATGCGGGGTTACTATATAGATATATTCGATAGATCTTAGATCCATCTAAGATTGGGCATGTTTCCTGGATTCCCTATTTATTCTCATATGTCGCACTGCATGGCCAATTTGAGTGTTGTATTCCCCTGTTCCTCATTTTTCGTCGATTTTATTGATGAATTGTCCGGAGAAATCGTTTGATATCTCTGCGTATGACCCTTTAGGCCCTGCAAGATTCTTGTTTGTGGATGACCCCTCAGGAGCGCGGGATTCTACCCATACACCCCTGCACAGGTATATCCTTTACATCTCCATTAAAAGCATTCAAAATAAAACCCATCAAATCTCCACTTTATATAGAGAGACTGTTGCTTCAAGCTTACCTCAGGTGTGAGGACAGCGTCTTCGGGGGTCCCACTTTGGGTAAACGTATGGCAAACGTGAGCCAGGACGGAGGCTCCTCCTTGATGCAGAGATCGGTTCAATCGCGGATGAGGGGCATGACACCGGACCAGGATCTCATGGGCGATGGAATTGATCCCAATAAGAGTATTGGGATGGAATCTTAGGGGGGTACTCCGGATGAATATTGGATTTTAACATATTATAAATAGATTACTTACACTAAGTAGGAATGCGATTATGAAAATCACTGCTAGGGTTTGATGATTCTGCTGGGAACAGGATTTTAGGTGCGAGCGAAGCACGGAATCTCAGGAAGTAGATAGATATGCTGGAGGGATGTGGGAGCTCACATGGAGGATCAGAACCAGTCAAGACCCTTCAGGCGCATTGCCGCTTGCATCCCAAATGTCAACAACAAAAGACAAGATGTTATCGTTTTGTTGGCCCTGGATCCACAAATCAATATTAAACCCTGGTTACCTTACTTTGGTTGATCAAACATCGAGGGGCGCGCCACAAAAGCTCGAATTTAATACAATTTATCACTAAGATGGGGCAACATTGGCACTATCTCCAGTTTTTCCCAGCTCTCATGCCCGATTAATCAATAAACCATTCAGGTACAGCGGAACCATTGGAGAAGAACCGATTATAAGAATTTTCTAGCTTGCCCTGGGGTTCTTAATAAGTGCTATAGGCGGAAAAAAATTGGGAATTGTGAACGAAGATAATTACCCTGTTCTTGAGGGGTCATCCCTTTAAGGGCTACATATGGTGAGGGTTTTGCAAATTCGTACTATTTTCTCAATTTGGCATTCGGTAAATAGTGCTTCCAGAGAAAGCTCTGAAAGCAGCAAAGAGCCGAAGAAGAGGAGAAGCCAAGGCAGGGACAGTTGTTGTGCGTCCATGGTTTTGCTATGGGTTTGCCAGGGTTTTGAGCCGCGCCGCACAAGCACAACCCTAAATAAAGCGCAAGCGCAGCCACAGCCAAGCACCAAGAACACATAGACCAAAAAGCAAAGCTTGGCTTGGCTCGGCTTTGCCGCTGCCAAAAGATTGTTTGAAGTGTTTTTCAGGCACCACCAAGCACGTTGGTTTGGAAGAAAGTTTTTGGGGCGAAAGTTTTCCCAAACTATTCAATGGGCATCCGTCTAGGCCGCTTGAGCCCTGGCCAGGTGGAAGAGAAGCTCCAGAATCAGAAGCACCGACAGAATATGTTTAAAAACACAGCAGATAGAGAAAGAACAAAATATAGATATATTATAAATATACTTATAAATTTTAACTTAAATATATAGATGTAAATATAAATATACATGTGCCCATATATATATATATGTATATATACAAATAAATGCACAAATACAGAAATATACACATACATACATAAATCAATGGGAATTCCAGGATCCTAAAATGAAGGTACTGTACCATATAAGGCCATATTTTTGGGGAATATATTTCTTACATAGGCCTTACATAGGCCTTATATATGGTAGGTACCTCCAATTTAGGATCCTGAAATGGCCATTGAATAAATATATATATATCAATAGTTATTATTTAGTTTGAATATTGGGAATGCAGCGTGGTAGATCTTGACCTGTGAAAGTGTTCTTATTACTTATTTCTCTCGTAGCTGATCGGGGCGAATCCAGCAGCCCCTGAAGTTTCCTCCCAAGATCCCATTTCAGCCGGAAGAGGCGCGATTGAATGTGCAGAAGGAGGAGATGGCCAAGGCATAGGAAAAGCCGGCCATGGGGATACGGTGCAGTGGAATGGGAAGGTCCAACTTTTGTTATTTTCTGTTAGCGTTTAAATTATAGTATATATATATATCATATATATGCATGTGTGTGTGTTTGCTATAGTATTATACATATATATATATATAATATTTATATTTATACATATTTGTGTGCAAATTGGGGGTTTACGGTGAGATTAGCAAACGTTTTTTGACCCATACTTGGTTGGCGGGTCCACATATTGGACCCTGGTGACTCAACCACCAGACACTCCCAGGATGGCTTTAAGGGAAATAAATGCAAAGGTTGGTTGAATTGCGTCCAGTAACCGACCTGAAAGTCATGGGACCATATATGGCCGACCTGGCCCGAGGCCTACATGGGTCTCGTGATTCGTGCCTTCAGCGCCAAAGAGACACAAGATCATATGACACTGGGATACACCTGGCGCGGCATATGACAGCCTCTGGCAATTTAACATGGCTATGTTATTTGGAGGGTAAGTAAGGACGAATAAACCCCAGGCTATTCGTTAATTAATGGGGGGTACCAATTCTACTAGGAATTTATCACGATGGGAAGGGAGTAAAGCCCACCAGTAGTCCGGCTGTCTTCCGACATAGCCGGTTTTCATGGGCATGAGTGTGTGCGAAGCAGTGCATTATCACCCACTATATATAATATTAAATATATATATATATATGTATTATATGTATTATATGTATTATATGTATTATATGCATTATATGTATTATATGTACATGGACATTACTAGCCAATGGTTCAGTTCATGCGTTTTTTGTTGGGCATTATGATGACTTGGGATGTCGGATTTCCCAGCCATATTTGCGGACGAGGGCCATGGAAAATTTCGCCAAGTCTTTTCTTAATTTTTAAGCATCATTTTCCCTCAGGTAGAGGGTATCTATATTTGATTACCTGAGGGATCATGCCAACTGGTAGATGGAATACCTACGGGATATGCCATGATATACCCTCAGGTCATCAAATCTGGTGAAATCCTCTGGAAATTCAGCGCTTTCTGGAAATTCATCGCTGGTGGATTTTCCGCTCTGATTTTCGGCTCAGGAAGAAATGGTTTGGTCGAGATTCCTTCTACAATCCGATGGCTCGCAAGGAGGCAAGAGCAAGTTAACCCAACGTGTTGTGGTTTGTTTCCCCTGTCATGAATGTGGGATATAGATATATGTACATAGATATATGATTATATGTGCATATATATATATATATATATATGCATACAGATATACATATAAGTATATATATATATATACACGTGTAGAAGTATGCAAACATATGTATATATGATATTGATCAGATATTTGAGATTTAGTTTTTTCTATATACATAGTTGGGGTTGCTTTATATATACGTGTTTCGTATTTATATTACAAACACACACGTGTGTATATATATACACAATATACACATCCTTTATACACACATTACATACATACGTACGCACGTACATACCTACATACCTACATACCTACCTACATAGCTACATGTACGAATATGTGTTTCTATGTTCCATTCAAACATATTCACATTTCTTGTTTACATACAAACATCATATATGTATATGCGCAGGGAGGTAAATAGTCATATCACACACACACACATATGTATGTATATATATATATATATAGTAATGTGGATATACATCATACACACAGGGACACAGGTGAGAGAGATAGGTATACCTTAAACACACACACACATGAATATGCATATCTATATATAGTCCGATTCGGATTGTTTTGAAACATCAAGATGATAACCCGTTCAAACGTTGGCATTGTCTACACTGTCTTTTGGTCTTTGTTGGTTCTGTTCCGATGTGAGTTGATTCTATTGCTAAAACTGGGGCTCGGAAGTGAAGGTCTCAAGGACCATTCACAGCTTGATCTGGTTTCGCCACCCAAAAAGGTCTTCTACTGTAATTCTATAGTTATATTCTAGTTATAAACAGCATCTTTTTAGCAACATGATTCAGTGGAGCATCTTCTTGGCATAACTTCCCCCGTCTTCGTGCCAGGTGCTGCGTGTGATGAATTCCGTGGATCACATGATCAGCAATGTGCATTACGTGTACCCAGGAGCGATGTGCACCGAAAGAACCTTCGCGTACGTGTTCCTTGGATTTCCGGAGCGGCCCTGTGATGACTTAGTTGCAAGGATATAAGTTATGGATACATCTGACATGCTGCAAGGATTGGGAGCTAAGGGGCCGGATATCCACATTTCCTATGAACCATGGTGAGCCAGTGGGAGCTACGAAGAGGTTTTCAAAACCATCGAATTGAGGCTACACATTGCAGACGATCGGAAAATGAAGTGGTTTATAATTCAAGGTTTGAAAATGAATTTGGTTTCTTGAATAGAACACGAATTTGCAGATGAAATTTTGCAGCTTTTTCATTGTGCATTCGGTCGTTCGCGCTGGTGGAACACGCTTACACCCAGGTACCCCAAGGGTGGTGCTTGCGAGGAAAACCAGCTGGAAAAGTACGCCTGTAGGACGCTTTACTCCGATAGAAACCGATTTATTTTTTACTTGTGCCTGGGCTGGGCTGGGCTGGGCTCATCTGTGGGATGGTTGGGTCAATCCAGGAATCCCGATGGGGCGACTTACTAAACATCCACCTTTCACTCCACTGTAGCTTGGGCCATGCTTCATCTCAGCCGCAGAACCGAGGTCATTATTGATAAGTTGCAGAGGGTGGATCAAAGTTTCTTTGAAGAATAGTTTTTCACATCCCGCAAAATCAGTAATAAGTTAAGAAAGTGTAAATTACTACCAGTAGGACCGCACCTTGGGCGGTGGCGGAAGTTTCCAAGATAGGAACCCTATAGATCCCTATAGGAGAGGGCTGTTGTCACGCCTGGCAAGGCGAACCCGCTGAGCGATAGGTGCGAGCGAGGGTCTATCTGTTTGCTTGTCTCTTTTTCCATCCATTTCTCTATGATCTGTCTCCTCTGTTCACCTATGTTTTCTCTATCTATCCATCCATCCATCCATCCATCCATCCATCCATCAGGTCTATCTTGCTGTCCTTCTATCTATCCATGTATCATCATGTATCTAGCTGTCCATCATTGCCATTTCATCTATCGATCCAGTTATCCATCTTTTTATCCATCCATTTAACCATCCATCGAACTGAATTCTATTGATCCCTCTCTCCATGTGTCTCTCACTCTCATCATGTTAGAACCATCGAGCAGGAACATCGACAAGGAGGAGCAGAAGAAACGCAAAAGGAGAATCGACTACAACTTGTTCGGGGAGAAGAAACATTCCCAAATCTTCAAAAAGCATGTTTGCAACATATTTTGAAACTTGAGTAATGCCTTTGATTAACTCAACGCCACGCTGTCACATTCTTGTCCTTCGTCAAAGCAGACAGGGATCGACATTGCGAGTCAACCCCTTTCGTGTCCTCAGGGAGGACTGTTGCTGACCAGCGTGTCCGTTGCGTCAAAGCAAAGTTCAACTGCAGTTTGTCTCGTGCCGTCAGAAAAGACAAGCACGGAAGCTGTCAAGTAATGTCCAGCACGACATTTCTAGGTCCACAAAACTTAGGCTTCTCGCTGTCAGAAAAGACACACACGGCATGTTGCGGACCAGACCGAATGCTCTACAAAAACACGAAGGTTCATCTTGTCAGCAAGAGCAGACACGAAGCCTTGCAAATCACTGCATGTGTCCCCAAGTTCGGTATTTGTTTGTTGCCAACAGAATGTAACTCACTATTCGAATGCAGAGGTGGCTGTTCTCGAAGCTGATGATTATGATGATGATGATGGTGATGATGGTGTGAACGAGAGTCACACAGTTGCACCGGTCCAGACACGTGATCGGGTCCGGCTGCAAATTTCGAGATGCAGACCGCTTCAGGTAGGAATGGTCAGAAAAGACACAGTGCTTCGCGACTTTTCTACCTTCACCTTGCCCTTCTTTCTACTGACTCTTTCTCTTCTGACCCTTTCTCTTCTCGGACTGCTCTCACAACTGTTGCCGCATTTGTCCATAAGTCGGAAGTTTGACTTTAATCTTCCTTCTCACATAGAATGTCCCATTTATAGATGATTTTCATTTCCTTTCCCCTGTCGTTCCAATGCTTTTTTCTTCCTTGGAACTCGCGGATTGACTCGCGTTCTTGACCCTGCCGGCTTGTTTTCCACACTTTGGCCTATTTTCGGGTGCTGTCAAACACTGGCACGCTTAATTTTGTTTTGCCGAATTTTCAACTTTTTCTGCACCATGAATTCTTCTTCCTCGGCGCCTGCGGAGTGACTTGCGCTTAACAGGCCACCCTGTTGGCTTCCAGCATTTTGCCAACGAGGGTAGCTTTGGAAAGCTGTACTTTTTCGCACCACAGTGCCGGGATAGAGGGATCGGACATAGATGTGCTCAGTCAGATGTGGTTCTCCTGTCTTTTCCTTGGTCAAGAAGATGATTGAAAGAATATGGTTGATGGTTCTGTAACATGGTGTTTTTGGTGTTTTTCCAGTTCGCTACGTAACAAATTATCAGAGGGTATTTCACTGATCTCTCTTTTATGTTTTTTTCATGCATTATTGCAGGTGTTTTCCCATATTTCATCTAATAATCCCATTATGCATATGCGTCGACAAACACTTAGAACATCAAACCTTTTCCAAATGCACCAGCACACACACTTAGAACATCACAAAATCAAGATGGGGATCAAAAATCAAGAAACACACCACTTGGAACATCAACACATAAAACATGCATTTTGACAGAAGTGGTCTGATGTTCTAATTATAATTGTTTTTCCGGCTGAGAAGAAATGATTGGAAATTCAAACAGCCACCCGCACATACGTCCCTCATGCACATTTTACTCTTGCAGGGTCTCATGCAGTCTCTGTCTCTGGCAATGGTTTTGGTATTCTTGATGACACTGGAGTCATCACTGAAAATATGGTTTGTCCCACACATTCTTTTCTACGCACATCAAAGCTTAAATAACTGGTTTGAACCATTCCTATACTCACCCCGCCTTTTTCCATTACTTTTGGTATAGTGGACACATACTTAGAACATCATCATGTACAAATTGATGTTCTAAGTATGGATTTTTGGCGGATGTTCTAAGTATGGTTCCCCGACTTCATACTTAGAACATCTACCCCGTTAAATGTTGGAGGAGTGTTTTCCAAATGATGTTCTAAGTATTTGTCGACCCATATATACATGATTTCCTATTATAGTCCCATTAAATCCTATCATAATAAGTATGATATCTCTCATACGTCCCATGAAAATCTCATAAAATTTCATCCAATCATCCAATCATCGTGGGCTTTTCCCCAGCCGGGCCCAGGTGCCCCTTCTATTTCACCAGACCTTTGGCTCCTCGGTGAAGTGGGTTACGGGATTTGGTTCCCATCCACGGTGGCAACATGGTGGATTTAGAATATCTAAATGATGTCTGAACGAAACATGGAACATGAAACATGGGACATGTGTTGTGTTTTTATTTGATATTTGATGCGATAAAAGACCACATGGTTTAAATCATTTTAAATCAACAATCGTGAAGCATGGTGATTTGAAATGAAGTCATGCATACATATGTATACATCTATATACATATATGGATGTAATCAATGTTTATTGTTATTTGATGTTAGTTGTGTGTGAAACTGTGTTTTTGTTAAATGGTTGTTTCTATTTTAGTATATGGGGAAATGATGGCTAACTATCAAATCATATCAAATCTATGAATTTGGGATACTCTAGCCTATTTTCCGACAAACCCATATATATATATATATGTGTATATATATATTATATATATAGATATAATTATATATATATATTGGTACCCTCCCCATAGTTCTACCCTTTTTTGGGTTAAATTTGGGCAATAGGTTAGAGAGGGGGTACAATGTTAATTATACTGACGAAGAGAGGATAACCTATTGTGCTTATGGTGAAATTCTTCCAAGTGCGCTTGCAAACGCTTGCAAACGTTTGAAGGAAATTGGGATTGAAAATTGACGACTGGTGAAGGCCGGAAAAAGTCTTCAATCCATGCTCCAGGATTGAAGACTGAACATTGAACGCTTAGAAATAACTTTTCCAATCCTGCATTGACAAAGTTTTTCAAGGCGGCCTTTAAGCCTCAATCTGAAAAATCCGTGAAAGAATTTTTAAAGTTACTCAAGCGATTTGTTCCTTTCTGAAAAATCTGTTTGCACATTTTCAAGCGCCAGCTGTCCTGGAGAGAAAGTTCCAGGGAGATCTGAGGTCATTGAGGGAAATCGTTCGGAATAAGGTAAATTACACGGTTAAATAAGGTTTAGGATATTTGATAATATGGAAATCTAATGATCATCTTAGTAGGGTGATAGTTATCCATTGATTTGCAAAAGAAACGGTTAGCTAGATTGAAATCCAGTTTGACAGGGTTTTGAGCAACGAATATGTTTTTGAATTATGTAAGTGCAGCCATCCACATGGCTCATTTTGTGAAGAATTTGGGTGACAAACCAATAGATTTTCACAGTATGCGCAGAAGACAAAATGATTCCAAGAATTCAACCCAATGTTCTTGAATCACAAGTGTCCATTGTTAATATTCATATTGAAATCACATGTTGGCTGCTCCAGCATCACCCAACTATCCCACAAGTGGTTCAAAGGAAAATGTCAGGAAACAACCATGTCCAATGGGAAAAAAAATAAACAACATGTAAAGAAACATGGTTTCATCATACGAGCAGCCCCCGAAAAGAATCGAAAAGGATGCCGAAAAGTTGGAAATGCTAGCAATATGAAGTGAATATCATCAAGTTACCAGCCTGGAAGCACACTTTTCTATCTGAGGTTGTTTTTACACCGTCCAAAAAAATGCCAAAAAGTGTGCAACCAGGAGGTTGGTTCAATGATATTCAATGCAATTTTCCAAGTTTCCCACTTTGCTATCAATGACTTGGGGTTGCTATAGTTACATAGATTTACTCTCCGGTAATCAAACGTGGTTTGCTGATCCACCAGTTACAGTATTTTTTCCCAGCTAGAAACCATTTAGCTGCTGGATTTCCCAGTTTGCAATGTTTTAAATATTATCAACCAATATTCCATGAAAATATGCCATATTATATCCCAATCCAGTTACATCCCATGAAATCATATTAAATCCCCTTGTAAATCCCCCTCATAGAATTGGATGATGGGAAAATTTACAGGAAAGCCCTATATTTGATGGTAAAAACCATGGTTTCCTGTAGATTTTCCCTTAAACCAATCCATTGACCCCCATGTTTATGGTTTTCTACAGGAGATGGTGGAGACCCTTGTCCATGAAGGATCACACCATGCGACGGCCTACACTGATGACGTGGAGTTTCAGGGCTCGAAGGTGCTCAAAAAACGGCGGCTTTTCGGGGAAAGTCACCTGAAGACATGATAGACACCCTCTGGTGAACCAACATAGCAATTGAAAATGGCCATTTATAGTGGATTTTCCCATTAAACATGGTGATTTTCCATTGCTATGTTAGTTCACCAGTGCGTATGGAGGTTTCAAGACATGACCCATGACGGATCCATGGTGCTGGTATATATGCTAACATTTTGGGGGTATATTGATGGGATTCATGGCACACCATATATAGCAGCACCATGGATCCTATGGGTGAGGTGTCCTGCATTGTTTTTCGGGGTCGAAGATCTGTTTCATGAGGTTTCCTGAAATAGGGTTACCCCCAAGTCATCATCCATTCATTGAATGTTCCATTAAAACAAAAACTCCAGCTATGGGGGTGCCCCTATGGAAATTTCCCATATGGCTATGGGTCAAAACAGAGGTTTTGCCAGCTATGATGAAACATTGGGTTATCATTGTTTTAAGATGAAAAATGCTGAACAATGGTGATTAGAAATCGACAATTGTGAGAGCAGCGGGCATTATATAGACCATCTAAAATAGGGACTTTCTGTAATCAATGAAGTGTTGTTTGAAATGATGTTGGCGGATGGGCCGCCAGTTTATAGCAAATTGAATTGGGAATTAGGGATGACAAACCAGGTCATGCTGATGATCTAGCTAGTGGTTTATAATATTGGTTATGTTATGTTATGTTTATTTTTCTCTATCTGAAACTGACATGATCATCAATGAATTCATATCATATTTTTGGGGCTGAAGCCACCACCTAGTCATCTATTATTAGGGATTTTCCATCCAACCAGGTCCAAGAAATTCATTGGAGCTGGATCAGCCGGCCATGTGTACAGTGTAGACCTTTCTTGGCAAACCTGGCTGATTTGATGTGAGTTGGTTCTCCATCTCCAGGTTTACCCTCTGGTAAACTAACAGTTTGCGAACTTGAACATGGCCCAGTCGAAATCGTGGATTTTCCCTTAAGAGTAGCATGGTGGATCTTTCCAGTTCGCTATGATAGTCATTACCAGAGGGTAAACCTCCATTTTCTTATGGGTGTTCCTATGGTTTTCCTATATGGTTTTCTCATGCCATCCATGCCTGTCTCGGAATTTTCATCGCCCCAAAAAAAGCATCGCTTGAAATCTTCACGACCCAGTGGGATCCATGTTTTTGGCCTATTTTTCAAGCCTAAATTCAGGGGATATCCCCACAATTCATATGGCCAAACATATGGTTGCGTTTACGTAGCTCCATGTATTGGATCTTTTTTTATTCCCATTGACCTGGTGTGTTTTAATGTGGTTGATTTTTATGTTGAATCAAGCTATCAAAATATATCAACATATTCAAGTCAAAGTGAAGGGCCCGGTACACATCCCTGCCGCCCTGCCATGGGACGATGGTTTCGTTGTGGGGGACCGGTCAAATAAAGTCAAGATATCACCAAGGTCGTAGAAGTTCTTGAGGGGAAAGTTTGCAGGAAAATTCCGTAATAGTTTGAAGGGAAAAAACGTTGTGTGAAGATGTTTGAAGAAGTTTCTGGCTCAAGATTTCCTTTGAAATATATAATCCTTTTCCTTTGAGATGTTTGTTTGCAACAATCCATTGAAATTCATTGTAGATGTTGTCGGGGCCCCACCTCTCTATGCAGTTCTCAACCATGGTGACATCGTCCCTGGTCGGATCCGCGTCAGGCCTATGGCCGACGCACCTGCAAAGAATTGGCCAGGAAAGAGCCCCTGCAGGTCGGGACAGTTCAACCAGGGGTGGTTTACTACCTAAAGATCCTAAAACCGAAAAATGCAGGTCGCAAGTACAAACCCGCTTGTCTTGCAAAATCATGAAAAAACATGTCTTCCAAATCCAAACAATTATATTTATCCAATGGATCATATCGTAGAGCATCCCTTTTAGGTCATATGTCGAACAGCATCAAAATTTGAGGTGCATAGCGTTTCGTTTTCAGAAAATGAAGGCAATTTTTTGTGGCAGAAAATAGTGGAAATCAGAGAAACCGGTATTTATCCCATAGTAAACCTGTATTTTGTGTGTCTCACCAAAAAAAAACAGGTTTTGATGACCTGTATTTATTCCCCTAGATGGCCCTTATTTATCCCGTCGTAACCTTTTTTGGAAAACTATATGGGTTTTGGATGGTTTTTGGCTATGGTTCCTGAATGCAATTCTGGTTGGTGGTTTGTTTTTTTTTCCACAATATATGGGATAATCCTTCCCATTGACTAATATTTTTCAGCGGGGTAGGCCAACCACCAACCAGAATTAATGCGCGAGTATTAAAATTGGAGCAGGGGAGCTTCGGGGGCGCTGTGGAAACGGTGAAGGATCTTGATTGGAACGTGTTTAGCGGGGGGATTGGAGGTAAATGCACGGGATATTGTGTTTTTTTAATGGGAAGAACCAGTCTTTAGGAGAAAAAACTTGGTTTCTAGTTTCTACCCAAGAACCGTCATTTTGAAATAGGTTTTAGGTTCTCCAAGTACGGACAGTAGCTTTTTTTGTCATGTTTCAATTTTTTCAACATGTTTTTTTCATATTTCCCCACGACTGTTCTCCTCGTGGAGACAAGAGGGTTTGCCTTAGCTGGCAGAAATGTCACCAGACAGGTGGTTTCCAATGGTGGATGCCCAAGTAATGTTGGATGGTTTGGGGGTACCCCATTTTCCGCGAACCATAAGGTGCAGTGCCCCTGTGTGCAAAGGAACATGAACGCTATTGCCCCAAGCCACCCAAAGCACCCCATTGTGCTGCGCCTTGCCAGTCCCGTGATGCCCTGTGTTCTGAAGTGATGCAAAAAGTGTGTGTTCTGAAGTGATGGCTCGGATGGTGTTCTGAAGTGATCCTGTTGCCCAATTTAGCAAACCCCCATATAAATGTCAGAATGTATATTAAGAAGATGTGTCTGAGAATATGCCAGGAAAAAACAAAGTGTCAGAATAGATTGCCAGAATGCATCTCAGAAAAGTTGGAAGAATAGATGTGAGAGTGATGTCGGAATGCATATATCACGGGAAGTTTGCCAGAGCAAGCGTCAGAGTCTTTGTCAGCACATATGCTAGATGAATTGCTGGAAAAAAGAAGCGTCAGAGCATATTATATATCATGATATGTGCCAGAATGCATGTCAGCACAAAGCCATGCCGCATCATGTTGTTCAGAACGGTCAGAACTTGGGGATCACAAGAAGGAAAGTCATGTTGAAACATCACCAAAAACAGCTGGTTGGTGGTCTCAATAATTTAGGTTTTTGCATGTTTTTGCCATACCTGGAAAGGAGATGTCTGTGGACCATTTCTGCCGTCATCATTGAATTTTGGTATTCCCGTTTCTGGATTGACCCATATCCATGATATATCCGATATACCCTCTGGTTATGACTAACATAGCCATGGAAAATGGCCCATCTATAGATGGTTTACCTATTAAAAATTGTGATTTTCCATGGCTATGTTGAATAACCAGATGGTAATTATACATGAGTCATGGGTTGAATTCTTCACCATTCTTTCATCCAATGCTTGGCCGAGGACCTCGGCCAGGCCCCCACAAGAAACTCATGTTAACCACTGGCTGGTGCTGGCTTTACCAGTCTTCCAGGCCTTAAAAAATGCGGACAACTTCTGCTACTACATCCAGGATGGGGCTGTCCAGCCTTACCGCCACAAGTGGTAGATACAATGCCAATGAACTGCTACAGTAGGGGTCCACCCTCGGACTTTCATGGACTTTCCAGAGAAATGTCTGTTTATGTTGGTTTAATATGGTTGAATTCCAAATGATCGAAGATTTTCCGAGAGCCTCCATAAATTTCATCCACTTTCATAAACTGGCTGAAACAAATCGATATTCACCAGCCTGACAATAGCTGCTGTTCATCGAGGGATGCCCCCATCAGCTACGAGCTGGCATGGATGTTCATCCCTCTACGAATGGTATCTACAGGTATTGATCCATAGCCATTATTTCTTTGTCTTAATGGATCTTAATATATCTTCATGGTTATTTCCTGTTGACCCATGGCTGTCAAAATTTGGCCCGCCTGAACCTGCATTCCAGGATGCTGCAGAGGCTGTTCAGGACCATCCTGGAGAACAGGCGCGGCGGATACATTGTATAATATATACTTAAAGTATGATGCATTTATTGATGTGTAGAATTTTATAATATATATATATTTACTATCTATTTATATATTTACAATTACTGTAATATATATATATATATAACCGGATTTTTGTAGACCATATATATATATATATATTTGTTTATTTGTTTATTTGTTGATTTGAATTTGTATAAACAAATTTATTTATATATATATATATATTTGATGCAAGCTGGTTAAACAACAGCAGCATTTTTTCCACTGATGTAATTACAAGGTACAGCATTCAGTACCATGTTTTACTTGAACATCCTGACGAAATTACCATGTGACAGAAGTGGTAGACTGGATAACAAAACATGTTGATCAGTAGGGAGGGCCCCAAAATTGCTGCAACTTCAGCAGACATGGAAAGAAATAGTAGTCGATCAACCTGCAAGTGTCCTTAAGAGAGAGAGAGAGAGATATATATAGATGGATGGATGGATGGATGGATAGATATACATACATATATATATATGTGTGTGTGTGGCTTACCCTACCTATTGGAGAACCTTGGTGAACCCATCTACTTTACAAAACCTAAAGGCTTGAAACTTATTTCACCTTTACTTTCCAATTCCAACCCTTCACCCTGAAGGAAAAAACATGGTTTCATTAATTAGTACGGGGAATGCTTCGGAAACAAGCTTTTGGCGCAATGTTTATTGAATCTTAAGAATGAATTCGATCGTTGCTTGACTATGTTTGACATGAAGAAAAACACATACTCGTACCTTTAAAAAAAAAGTTTTGAGTTTTGGTTGTGTTATTAGGGGAATGCTTCCGAATCCATGTTTGGGCTATAGTTTGATTTGTTTTTAAAGAGAAATATAATGGAATTTGAAATGTGCGTTTTTATTTTTTCATTGAAGGTGTTTATTTTATTATTCGGGGCAGGCTTCTCACCCCAACATTAAATACCCCAAGGAACAAAAACTGTTTGTTTATTGCTAGTGGACACATTAGACTGGAAAATAGCATGTTCTGAGTGTGAATGTCCCGCCATGGGATCATACTGCTTCACTTGATGTAGTGCTTGATGTTAATTAAGTATTATCAAATATGTATTTTATATCATATATACTATGTGGGATGTTCTAATTGTGGACTATTTCGGTATGTTCAAAATCCGGCTCCCCTGGGTAACTCTTATGTTTTTATGTTCTAAGTGACTGTTCTTCATTGTATATATATATATATATACATACACTGATATGCATGTATACACTATATATATACATATGTATATATATGCGTGTGTGAGTGTGTGGGTGTGTGGGTGCATTTGTGTGCAGCATGTATCAATAACCTTAAATAAGTACCCACACACACACATATATATATATAGAGATATGCGCAGAACAGATGACCGAAAGTCTTCCCGAGAACCCTTGGCTATCTATTACGTTTGTTTGACTTAAAAATGTGCACTACCCTTTTAATGTGCAATAATTTGTTCTGGAGAAATTGTGCTACTAGACTTGAAACGATAAAATGTATATATAAATGCCATGTGAGCATGTTCAAATGTGGTTTGATCATATCTCCACTTTTGATCTAATACAACCTGTTTGTACGGAAATCCTTTCAACACCTCCGCAGTTTGTGGATTCTTCTGCTTTGTTGGTCTCACATTTATCTTGCTTACCCTTGAAATTTCATTTTTTCATGTGATTGTTTGTGGAATAGCCTAGAATATTCTGTTGAAATGCTCTGTTTTTTAGAAAATGCCTGAAATCTTCTCGCGGCCAGGTTTCCGCCAAGTGTCCCACGATGGCGAAATTTAAGCACAACCCGACAACGACGGGGATTGCCATTGCCCTAAAGGAACGCAATGTGCCGAGGTCGCACAGAAGGCACAGAACGTGGCGCCAGCAATGTTTGAGGTGGCAATAGAAAATCCACTGGTTGTGCATTATACATATGTGATTAGAATTAATTACATATAATTATATATATATTGATACAATGTTTAAATGCATATTAGGGGGGTATGCGCCTATTGAATTTCACGAGGTCTTGGGGTTTTGGGATTTTTACGGTATATTGGGTTTCAAAGTCAAAATGCATCATTTCGAGCAACCTGCGAGCAGAAGGGTCGTGAGGAAAAGTGTTGAATGTTGTGATTTTTGTTGAATCAGTGGTCCACAGGTCCAACTGGCGTTCCACTGAAACAGAAACAGTCGGAAACAGTCGGAAACAGTCGGAAACAGTCGGAAACAGTCGGGAGCGGCCCGGCGTGATCGTGCCAAAATTGTCAATCCGCCATTTTTTTGCAAAAAAAAACGTTCCGCGCAATCCCCTTTTTTTTTTGAAAGTGCAACGGGAAACAGTTGGAAACAGTTGGGGCTCGTACCTTTGACTCGGCAAAAAAAGAGCTATTTAAAACCAGTTTATAAAGAAAATGAACCTTAAATGGTTTTAAATAGCTCGTTTTTTGCCGAGTCAAAGGTACGAGCCCCAACTGTTTCCAACTGTTTCCCGCTGCACTTTCAAAAAAAAAGGGGATTGCGCGGAACGTTTTTTTTTGCAAAAAAATGGCGGATTGACAATTTTGGCACGATCACGCCGGGCCGCTCCCGACTGTTTCCGACTGTTTCCGACTGTTTCCGACGGTTTCCGACTGTTTCCGACTGTTTCCGACTGTTTCAGTTTCTCTGGAACGCCAGTTGGACCTGTGGACCACTGATTCAACAAAAATCACAACATTCAACACTTTTCCTCACGACCCTTCTGCTCGCAGGTTGCTCGAAATGATGCATTTTGACTTTGAAACCCAATATACCGTAAAAATCCCAAAACCCCAAGACCTCGTGAAATTCAATATATGCGCCCCTCTAAATATACATTTCTCGGTCTCGGAAACACGTTCCCCTGGGAATTCATTTTCTACAAAATGACTGTTTGGCTCAAGGGAGGGTATACCTTCATAGTGTCCTCCCATGTCCCCCCTATTGCTCATACACTTTAGGGACTTTGTAACCGTGGTATTTGCCACTATCTGCAAAAACCCCTGAAGCTTATAACTACATGTTCAGGGCGTTCCCCCCAGGGTGTGCCGGTAGATTGACCCCTCTGGTTTTATACATTGTAACTGTTACCACCTGGTTATTTAACATAGCGTTTAACATAGCCATGGAAAATCACCATTTTCAATAGGTAAACCATCTATAAATGGCCCCATGGCTATGTTAAATAACCAGATGGTAGTGTCACTACTTTGAAATCAACTACTGTACCGAAAGATGAAAACGTCCCAAGAGTCCCAGAAGACAGAACATGTTGTCCTTCTGACGTGGTCCCCCCTAGGTTCGATACATTATTATATATAAATGCATTGGGAGGCGGGATGGGCATAAAGTAGGGAGGATGATACTGCGCAAGTACCCATAAGAATGTGTCAAATTATTCATTTATGGTAAAATAAATATTTTTATGAGTACTTGGGTCTAGGTATATCTATGGAACATGCGGATTTTTGGTCGTCATGTGTTTCGACATTTCCGTAGACATTTTATGGGCAATGGCCACGCAACCAGGTGGAGTTTTCGGACCAGAAATGGTTCGTGCAAAGCTGTAAAAACATGCAAAAACAATCAAAAGACGCTTGTGAGGTTGCCACATGAATATAAATTCGAAAATATAACCTCTCAAGATTTTGGAAATGGCAATATTAAAAAATTCTATTAACAATCAACCATGATCATTAAATTGATTCACAGGGCGCCCCAAAAAAAGTGATCTGCACCACCAAGGCCACTTCGGTGGACGCTTGGGGTGCCCTTTCTCCGCCAGTCCACGGTTGCACGGCAAGACTTGGCAGGAATTAAGTAGGCCAACTATGCCAATTGGGGTCTACGGTGGATATGCACCTGTATTCCAACAGTTACCAACATGCAAATATATATATATATATATATATATATATATTACACATATATGAAAAGATTCAGGCAGCTCTGTTGAATCAATGTTGCAGCTGATGCTGTGCGCTCTCACTCTTTTGTACTGTTGGCAAACAGTCTCAGGATAGCTTCAGGCTCAAGGCCTGTTGATCCATAATGTTGACAGTGACATCCAGCAGCTGTTGAACTGTACACGAATTGTGTGTTGGACAATGTTGTTACTTAACACGGCCCCTCAATTTGTTGGAGCTTCCAACACATTGCACAAAACAAACATTGTTGAAACGCAATCACATTATGTTGATACTATTGGATTAGGTGTTGATCTCTGTACAGGGCTGATGGCTTGTAGTTTTACATCTGTTGCCCAGCCGCAGATGTTGATCAAACACTTATCTAATTTTGCGCATTCCCGGCTCTCACGTTTGAACCTCTTGTTGCGCAGGGATCTGCTGAAGATCCAAAGACCGTTGGTTGAGGTGCCAGTCTCACCTGTTGGATGACTTCTCATCCTTCCATCTGTTGATCATCATCGTTTGTTGCGCAATTCTCACGCAGCAACTGTTGGATCTCATCCTTGGGCATGGTGAGTGGCAAATTGTTGAGGCGCCACACATCGATCTCTTTGAAATGGTTGTTGATCATCTCTTCTGTCCTCTGTTGCTCGACCCATGTTGCCAGGTGGCTGTTGCCTCTGATCCTCTCAACTGTTTTGGCTCCTTGGGACAGGATGTTGCCTGTGTTGATGCCGCTGGTGATGCTGGTGCTGTGCATCTGTTGCAGCATCTCCGTCACAGCATCCCTGGTGGATGTTGTGAGATGATGGAGCATCTGTGCTCCACCATACTCCAAACATTGGAGTACGAGCCTCTTCTCCTGTTGTGTTGATTCCACGTTCATGTTGGACACTTGGACCGGGATGTTGTAGGTCCACATCCAGTCCTTGTTCCGCTGGAAATAGTTGCAGATCTGTTGAAGCATGGTGTTGCCTCCATCTGCATTGGTCTCCCAGATCTGTTGGGATGCCAGCTCAAACGTTGTGAAACGAAGGTTGCATCCACTCTCGATCTGTTGCTGTGGATACATGTAGCCCCTGTTGAACATGTTGATCACCTGGTTGCCTGTTCGAAGACGATGTTGTTGAACATCCTCAACCCAGGTAATCATGAGCCACTTTGTTGGAATCTTCGTTGTAACATCATCTCTGTTGCGTGCATGTACATTGTTGTGAGCGCCAGTTGTGGCGAAGGCGCTAAGATCAACTTGTCGAAGTTGGGCATACGTTGGCTGCCCAAAAGTGCTGGGATCACCGTGTTGGTTGACTCCCCAGCCGTCTCTGTTGGTTTGATGGAGTTGTACTCCTCGATGGTCATCAAAACGACAAAACGAATTCATGTTGCAATCCGACATGTTGTCTAAGACAGTCATGTTCCAGAAAGAAAATCACTGAGTTGAATCTCCATGTTGGCCACCATGTTGAAACTTCCCAGTAAATGAATATGTTGATATACTCCATGTTGAAGTAGATAACGTAGATATAGAACATGTTGTCAACCTTTGTTGACACCATGGCACAAAAAGAAATGTATGTTTGTGTGTGTATGCCACGCACGATGTTCGCACGTTGTGCACGCGCTCGCACATTAACACGCCTGGCTGCAGTGAAACTGTTGTTGTTGTTGTTGTTGTTGTTGTTGTTGTTGTTGTTGTTGTTGTTGTTGCTCTTTGTTGTTTGTTGTTCAGTGACGCTGGGTGCTGATGCCAACATCACTGATGTGACGCAAAAGCGTCTCTGTCGCGACATACTTGGTGAAGATGTCGGCCGGGTTGTGAACGGTGTTGATCTTGACAATCCTCACGAGGTCATGTGCGACCAGCTGTTGTATAAACAGGTGCTTGAGCTCGATTTGCTTGGCCTTCTTTGATGATCCAATCCTTGTTGCCATGCTCTTTCCGCTTGATGAGTCGGTATATATGCGGATGTTGATCTTCTTCATGTTGAGAGCTTCCTTCAGGAAATTGCTGATGTGGAGTGCTTCTGTTGCTCCTGTGTTGATCGCATAGAGTTCTGCTTCCGCGCTGCTCAGCGCAATTGTTACCTGTGTTCTGCTTCCGTAGTAGATTGTTGCGCCGAAGACTTTGATTAGAAATCCTGTTGTTGACTTCCTCGTTGTTGCGCATCCTGCCCAGTCGCTGTCGACAAAGACTTGGATGTCTGGTACTGCTTCAGCTGTTGGTGTCTTGGTTGTAGGTCTCACGTATTGTTTGTAGTGTTGTGTTCCCTTGATGTACCTGAGCAATTGCTTCAATTTCTGCTGGTCTGCTGTTGTTGGCTGTGTCAGTGCTTTTGCAAGTTCTTTTGTTGCAAAGCCGATGTCTGGCCTTGTGTAGGTCATCCATTGTAGCTTGCCAACCATTCTTTGGTAGGCTGCGTGTTCTTCTTTGTTGAGTTCTTGTTCCATCTCTGATGTTGCTTTCAGAGTGTTGTTGCCTGGTGCTGGTGCTGGGTTGCAGTTGAGCATGCTGGCTTCTTCCAGTATCTGAGTTGTGTAGCTGTCTGCTAAGCTGATCTCGTAGTAGTCACCTTTGTTGCAGATGTTTCTGCCCAAAAAGCTGATGGTGTTGCCGACTGTGAGTTCTCCTGTTGGACAGAGTAGGAGGTGTTGCTGGATGCTCTTGAACAGCTTGTTGACCGTCTCCTGTTGTCCAATGAAGAGCAAGTCGTCGACGTAGCATAGTATGTATGCATCTCCCTGTGGTGTTGCGTAGACGTTGGGCTCGCTGACAAGTCGTCGTGGTCCAAGTTGTTGCATCACCTCTGCCAGGTGATTTTGCCATGCTTTTGGGCTGCTGCGTAAGCCATAGATGGCTTTGTTGAGCCGCCAGACGATCTGGTCGAAGGCGTTGTAGAACTCTGCTGGTGGATACATGAAAAGATCTGCTGTTGCTGCTGCTGCATGTAGAAAGGCTGTTGAAATGTCTCCTGTGAGACAAATCCAGTTGTTGCAAAGTGCCAAGACGAGTAGCATCCTCAGAACGCAGAAGATTGGTGTTGACGCGAAGATGTCGTCGTTGTCATTGATCTCCTCTGTGTAGCCCTTTGCTACAATTCGTGCTCGAACTGTGTTGCCTTTCTGTCGAAGAACCCATCTTGACTTGATGATCTTCTTGCGTTGCTCTGGTGTGAGTTGACTTATGTGTACTTCTGTGTACACTCCTTGTTCCTTCATTGGCTTAATCTCTTGCTTCATTCCTTCTGTTGTTTGTTCTTTGTCTAAACCTTCGGTGTTGCTCACCCAAGGTTCCAGGAGAATCTTTTCTGCTTTGATCTCCTGCTCATCCTCATTTGATGTTGCTTCTATCTTCTGTCCTTTCTTTGTTGTGACTGTGACTTGTGATATCCTCATCCTTGTTGTTGGTGGCTCCTGAGCTGTCTCAGGTCTGCTTGCTGCTGTGGCTCTCTCGGTTGTTCTTGCTTGCTTTGGTGAGCTGCCTTGTGTGATCTCATCTGCTACTTCTCTTTTGCCTTGTGTCGGCAATGGAATTGGCTGCCTTGCTGGCTGAGTTGCTGGCACTGTTGCCATTGGAAGGTCTGTAAGTGCTGGTGGTGGTGTAATGTGTGGTTGTACCAAGGCTTTTGGTTGTGGACTCTGCTGAGTCTGTGTACTTGTTGTTGTCTGCTGCTTTGCTGCAGCAGTTTGTGGTAGTACCACAATGCTTGGTGTTGTTGGTGGTATCATGGCTGGCGAAGAGTTGATGATGTCCACCAACTGCTTGTTGTACTTGTCTGGCTTTATTTGTCTTCTTATGGTCCTTGCTTTGACCACTTTGTTGCTGATGCCAAGTATGTTCTCGTTTGTTGAGTTGTCCTTACCTAGCCAAATGGCTGGGTAGAACCTTGCTTCCATCTTTGGCATCTGCTTTGCTGTTGGTAGCATGTAAAGAACTGTTTCACCAAATTCACATATTGGTGTTTTGTGTTCTTTGCCCCATCGTCTATAGTAGCTTGTGTTTCCATCTGAGTGGATGGAATACCTGTTGAGCAGGTATGCTGCGTGTTTGACAAGCCACGGCATGATGGGATGCTTGCTGTTGAGCTTGATGCCATAGTTGGTCTCCAGTTGGAGTTTGAGAGCTCTGACTTGGCCCATCAATGTTCTGTGGAAACGTTCAACGCTTCCTTGTGCTTGTGATGTGTAGGCTGGTGCTTGCCTGACTGCTATGTTGCTGCCCATGGCTGTTGCCACCATCTTGAGCAAGGAGATGATAAAGTCTTCCTGGTCTGATTGAAGAACGGTGTTGTTGAGAATTGCATGTGTTCTGCCACATTCCATCAGGAATTGTTGAAGGCAGACTGACAGGTATTGTACGTGTTGTGTCTTGTCCTCAAGTTGGACTGCCATACACATGCCTGTTTCAACGTCCACTGCTGTAAGGACTGATGTTGTTTGCTTTTCTCCTAAGCTTTGTAGTACATCAGATCCACTTGGATCACTGGTGTTTTGCTTGTTTGCTTTGGATGGTTGTCCTGTCTTCCTTTGCTTTGTACACATGTTGGACACCAGCTTCTGTAGGGAAGGTGTGTGAGCTCGTGTTCTCTTCTTTCTTGTTCTGTTGGTTGTTGTGGTGTTGGCACTCCTTTTGCTCTCTTGGCTTCTTGTTGCTCCTCTGGCTCATCTGTGATGAACTCATCTTTGTATGATGCGTTTTCTTCAAAGTTTGTTGAGCCTGTCCACTCTATGTCGAGTGTTGCTTTCCTCTTTGTCGTCCAGTCATCATCTATTCTATATCCTCTGTTGCCACTTGTTGGTTTCACCATTGTTTGTCTCCACGTTGTCAGTCTTGTCACGTCTGGTCCATCATCTGTTTGTTGTGGAATGTACATGTCCCTTCTTGGTTGGACATGCACACGTTTCCAATATGGACCTT